CGAGCCGTCTTTAATAGACTCCGTATGATCTGGACCGCCTGAGGTTCTTTAATGTGTAGCCAAAGCGTGCACATTACACGGGCCTCAAGCATTTCAACTCACCCGAAACGCAATCGCTGCGGCCGGGATAGATCCCCTATTTTTCGGGAGTCAGCAGAGCCGAGGTATACGCAACAGCTCAAAGCGGCGGATATGTAAATACATTAACCACTGGTGTAAGGGGTGGAGAGTGGGTTGGCGGAGAGGGTAGGGGAAGGCTTGGTTAGTTCGAATCTCCCCTCCCCTTTCACTACGATTTTTTTCATGCATATGCCGCCACACACACAAACGCGGGCACGAATGTGCAGAAGGTATGACTGAACTCCCTCCTCCCATGCGCAAAAAAAAAAGCGCTACTGGTAATAACTGTATACTAATCCCGCAAAAAGAAAAACTAACACCAGGAGCTTGTTTTATTTTTTTTGCACGGGTGGACACATGGACGTTTCACCCGCCTTATCATTTACTCCGTGTATATGATGTGACTTTTTTTATTCTGATCGTGCCTATTTGTTTACGTCCCAACCATGACGAAATTAAGTCATTAAAATCTTAGTGGGCCCCGGCATAAAACACTGTCGTGTTAGAAAACAAGACATATCACGTGACACATTCATTCGAACGCCCAAAGGCTTTCCCGAACACAATTCGCAATGTACAGAGTGTCCGTCAATTTTTAGCAGCTGTCGTATAGCATTGCTGATTGATGGCTATCGTGAGAGTTAGTATTGGTTGTATTGTGGCAAACGTTGAATTATGTCAAATGGTGGAATGATCGGTTAGTTATTCCTCGGTGACCTGACGCAAACCACAGCGGGGAGTAAGCCTTGGAATGAGTGGTGCTATGTTTTGTGAATTAAAAAGTTTAATACCAAATAAATGTTTAGAACTACGTAGTGTAGAAAATAACTTTGGCATCCCCAGTCATAACATAAACGGTCTTCGTTCAATTTCGATAAGTTCGATTACAGCGTGCCAGTTTGTCTACCAAGTTTTTCTCTATATGACGGAGCAATAAACGAGCGTTTTTTTTCTCGATACACGAAATCTTCTTAAACGAAGAAAGCAGAAATGAAACGGTGAGAAATAAAAAGGAAAAAATTCGGCGGATCCCACGTACCTTGGGAATCGATGTTATGCAAAGCATGCAAGGTGACTCGGTTGTAATTTATTTATTGAGCCAGACGTTCTGAAATGGCACTAAATTTATGTACAATCAGCATGAAATGAAACTCAAACAGTGGCAAGTCTTCTCTAGGGTATAGTGCGCGCGTCCACTTATCACCGTTGAAAGACGCGCGTGCCCTTTTCGGCAGTTCTGTGCATATATGCGCGCCTGCCTATGACGATAAGTGGACGGCGCGCACTATACCATAGCAAAGACTTGCCGTTGTTCGGGTTTGATTTGATGCCGATAGTACAAATATACGCACACACATACCTTCAACAGCCGCTAATGTACCATAGAGAATTTTACTATATAAAGAGTGGCCACTGGAGCCTTTTCGTGGCCCAGCAAGAAAGCTTTGACTAACCGCTAGATGGCGCACCCATGCTTGCTTTTATTCCTTTGTTGAGACGTGTGATAGCCTCCTCGGGAAGACATTGAATACCCAAGCATGGCATCAATTTTGTGCAAAGAAGAAATTTTATCAATTTGTGCAATTTTCCACATCCGCTCTACATCATCTCTCGCTGAGGACACCTAATGCTTTACAACAGAAAACAGTAAAGTATGACTAGAAAGTGTAGTCTTTCTGCATTTGTTTTGCACAAAGAGGCACATTCATGTGGTTGAGATGTACTGTACATCAGTGGCGGCGCCAGGATGTTCTTACTGGGGGGGCAACCACGAAAAGTGAGTTCCTCCGGGGGGGCAAGCTAGCTCTGCTCCTACTAGGTTTTCAATATATGCTTCCGGGCACTTGGGTGGGCATAGGGGGGCAGGCGAGATTTTTGGGGGGGCTCCAGCCCACCCTTGCCCCCGCCCCCCTGGCGCCGCCCCTGCTGTACATGTATTCTATTTGTGGAAGCATGGGTGTGTAGCCTAGTGGTAAAGACACTCGCTTTTGGAGCATGAAAGTATGGGTTGCATGAAGTTATCCCAGCGTCGGAAATAAAATAAAAAAATTGTTATTTTATTTATGCTAAAGACGTTATCTGGTCTGACAAACCACTCGTGGCGCTGAAAGCAGTGCAGTAGCTAGGCCGCAGCGCCCTACGGGAGTGTCCGCTCTTTATGTAAGTATGTTTCTCTATGATGTTACTGCGAAAGCTGTTATCAGATCACAACTCGGATCTCACGCAGCGCCGTAGTTGTCATCTGCAACCACTATTGACGTTATCACGAAGATTAGCGTCTACTTGAAAAGTAGTTGCGATACCTGGCGTAGCTCTGTGGTAAAATGCTTCATTGCCACACAGAATGCCTGGGTTCCAATTCTAGCTGGGACTCTTACACAAATTATTTGCATCCGTCGGGTCGACGGTATACCGATGTCGGGTATTTCTTAACGCTCGCGCGTTACCTGTGACAATCACTTGTGGCACATACCCACATACTAGCGGCACATACCCGCCCGTAGGTATGTGCCACTGTCTGGCTGTGAGTGTTTGACGGCGTTACGTGACGGGATTGTGATGATAATCATGTCTTGATCAGCGCGTCATATTCGTCAAACCATCTTACCCTCTCATGTTAATTTTGGTTCACCCCAAGTTAAGGGGGTGACCACGAGAGCACCCAAGCGTAAGCGGATAGATAGATAGATAGATAGATAGATAGATAGATAGATAGATAGATAGATAGATAGATAGATAGATAGATAGATAGATAGATAGATAGATAGATAGATAGATAGATAGATAGATAGATAGATAGATAGATAGATAGATAGATAGATAGATAGATAGATAGATAGATAGATAGATAGATAGATAGATAGATAGATAGATAGATACGCTCAAAGTCGCCGAAGTTCACTAAGAAATGCTTCGCATTTAAAACGTAGACCAAACGCATGCGGAAGAATAGATCAGAAGCGAAGCTTCAGTAAAACTGTAAATCGAAAGTGTCATTGCATAACAAGTTGGCGCCCTTGGTAGCAAAACTCACAACATTTGCATGACGCTTGCTGTGAACGGCTGTCCCTAGGCTCATTTCATTGGCTATTTATGTGGATGTACTTTGTTTAGAAAAAATGTTTGGCGATTCAAAGTACTATGTATACTGTACTATTGACCGCTCTCCATAATACAGTAACTAAGGAATAATATGGCAACCATAGAAAAGAATTTTGGTGTTTTTTAATAAAAAAGATTGTTTAACGATTTCGAGTACATTGTACTCAACTATGGGAGAGCAGAGAGCCGCCCCTAAAAGAACAGGAAGCGTTTACGGTATTTAGAAAAAATTTATTTACAGCATGTACAGAACACAAAGGCTTCATACCATTCCAGTAACAGGGCACATACACTTCGGCACATCTATATACGTAAGCTGGCTTTTCAAGCACTTCTAAGCCCCGCTGCGGCTTTTCCGTTAGTTTCTCAACTTTTTCGTCTGTTGAAAACAAACACTTGTTGCAAGTTATTCCTCATTTGAAAGTGACTGCACTTGATGGGGAAATGAGTAAATTTTTATTGTACATTCATATCTACGTTCCTTGGCATCGTCGTCGTGTGCCTTTTAGTTGTGATCAATGAACAATATGACACCCTCGGTTACTGTCCCTCTTTCCAGGCTATGAAGATGAGGGATCGTAGTATGAACACTGCAGAATTGGCGTAGGGGATAACAAATGAAAATCGAAGGAGCGCTGGTAGCAATTACAATTGCTTACGATGCACTTACTTTGCTGCGACTTGTGAGGTTAACATTGCTTTCTCGCATAACCAGGACTTGGGGTAGTTGTTCACGTGATGCCATCTCTCGGCGGTCTACCAGCAGTGCACAGCCTTAACAGAAAATAAAAAAGGCAAAAAAATCGTGTATCTCACGGACAAAGCTAGTCATTAAAATTAACTGACGTTTCCATATAACAAAGACTTTACAGAATGCTATAGTAAGATTTTAGTAGCGTGTCTTATTTTACGCAGGCTCTCACGACGTTGCTCTGGAATGCAGTTCATGCGACTCTTACTAGCGGTCCTGCCCTGTATTCCAGTGTCCCCAGAGCAGTGGTGTAAATCATCGGGAGGAGGGGGGGGTGTCAGGAGAGATCTGCCCCCCCCCCCTTTTGCTCAAACAGGGGGGTGGGGCGCAGCCCTTGCAAAGGCCCCCCTTTAAAATTTCTATTAGAAAACGTCATATATCTGAATGGCATCACAATTTTATATAGCTCGTTGAACATTTCAATGCCTTTCTTGTAGCGTGTATCGGCGTTCAGTACTCATAATCTGTGTGAGACTATTGAGATCGAAGCTACCGCTCGATCGGTTCAGAAAAGACTCAATAGAACAATGCAATTACGCGAGCTCGGAACCTATGTTCATTTATCTCTTTGATTTTAGGGCATGATTTTCATTTTGATATAAGCGAAACTACAACTTACCACATTTACCAAAACGAAATGGCCGCCATGGCAAAATGGGTGTACCCTCTTGTAACTTTTCTGGAATTATTTATGCCTCTATACCAGAGAATATTGTAGTGCGATAATAAAATTTTATCAGTATGCCCCAATAAGTTCCTACTATTTAAAACCGTGGGTAAATTTTGATAGCCAGTTTCGCTTTTTGGATACGATAATTTTTCCGGCACAATTGGCATTCAGGTGCTCCAGCTTGCTGCTACTTAAGAGTATCGGAAGCCCTTAGAACTGCGCATGCTGTTATCTAAAAGTAAAGCTATGTTGACTGTCACATTTTTTGTCAAGCTACACGTTTTGACTAGGAAGTTTCGTATTGGCTATTTTTTCAGAAAGCATGGCTTATCAGTAAGCTTTGTTTCTTACCAACAGGTCAGACGGGTCATTATCAGGCGAAATCAGACGACGACCACTTCGCACCCGGACGCTTTTGTAAGTTCACATTCTGACATTCCATAATTTCATCTATGGTACAGTTAAGTCTCAAATACATGTAGAAAAAATATAACATACATACAAGATAGATAGATAGATAGATAGATAGATAGATAGATAGATAGATAGATAGATAGATAGATAGATAGATAGATAGATAGATAGATAGATAGATAGATAGATAGATAGATAGATAGATAGATAGATAGATAGATAGATAGATAGATAGATAGATAGATAGATAGATAGATAGATAGATAGATAGATAGATAGATAGATAGATAGATAGATAGATAGATAGATAGATAGATAGATAGATAGATAGATAGATAGATAGATAGATAGATAGATAGATAGATAGATAGATAGATAGATAGATAGATGTGAACGAAGGATATAGAACAGGCAATGCGGTAAGTTTCAACTTCACTTTCACGGGGCCCTGCGAGAGGTACATTTTAACCGACGTCTTCCGCAAGTCATGCGTGTATATAAATGCGTTGGTGCAATATATACTGCATGCATTGTTTCAATCTTACACGCGTTGAATCAAACCACGCCGCCACCTCGGCACGGTCAGAAAGAGAGAACTCGGAGAGGGTGTGCTTTTATGGACACTTCCAATTCACGAAGCCAGGTTAGTCGACTCGTTGATCCGTGAAAAACAACCTCCACTGCCCTCGGCCACTTATTTATCTCTAGCGCAGGAATAGAAACGTACCGTGTTTTCCTGGTACAGGCCACTCCAGAGCATATCACTCCCTGACCCCGACGGCACTCCAAGAAAGAAGCGACATAGGTTGTACAGCCAGCTGACTTCACGAATCGAGCGTAAGATTGCGGCCTCGTAAAAGACTAGGCGCAACTATTCTTTAAGTTAAAATATTGCTTTTCTGAGAGAGAGTAGGCTTCTTTTTTTCTTTATGGCAGTGCTTGCCAGTTCAAGCGTACACACCCCACGTGATTTGTGAACTCTACACTGCGTTGTACTATGCTGCCGTGCATACCTATAAATTATCAGCGCTGGTTAGCACTGTCTGATGTTATCAAACCATGGCTAAATTAAATATAATGTCGAGTATGCATTTGAATACTATTGGCTGAACTATCAGAAATTCTTACTAGCGCTGGATAAATATCAGGAAGATTTGTTCAAAGATGACTAGAACAGTTTAACGAACGCTATATACTTGCTGTTAGAATAGCGACACGTTGCATTAGTTCAATTTCCGTCAAATGCACACAGATATGCACACAGACCAGAACCCGAGTCGGCTCTGCCTTACTTTTGTTGTGATCCGCCACGGTGGTCTAGTGGCCAAGGTACTCGGCTGCTGACCCGCAGGTCGTTGGATCGCATCCCGGCTGCGGCGGCTGCTTTTTCGATGGAGGCGAAAATTCCGTAGGCCCGTGTGGCTCATAGTTGGGTGTGCGTCAAAGAACCTTAGGTGGTTGAAATTGCCGGAGCCCCTCCACTACGGCGTGTCTCATAATCATTTGGTGGTTTTGGGACATCAAACTCCACATATCAATCAATCAAATCAACAATTTTTTCTCAAATTTATCCAACGACAACTCTGCATTTTGCAGCCGTAAGGTCTAGTGGGGATGAGATGCAGTTTATTCTGCACCTTTACTATCTTCACCCACCAGTCCGTCACAGAAAAAAAAATGTTGCTCGTCTAATAAAAGCTTCCCGCAAGACTTGAACTGTTCGCAGAGTTATTTCGAACGAACGTTTCTTTTATTTGTAATACACAAGCATAGTCGTGGTAGTTGTGTCAGATACTTCGATAATAACTTGGAAGAATGACCTATTGAACATGCGTGGCCTAAATAGTTTGCTTATTTTATTTTCAAATCTTTTTGGTAACATCACGAATTTTCTGTGGGTCAGGGCAAAAGTTTGAGGCTAACCTCGTGATGGGACCTTGCTGGAGGTGCGATTTGCAGCAGCACTGTTCGTTCGAGCATAGATCATTAAAAAAACCACAAGGTTTACACAGTGTGTTTGACCACATGTATAGTTCACTGTAAATGTCACTGCCCTTAACCAAACCATGGATCAAAAAAAATTAAGGAACTAGGAAAATCAGTGTGTCTGCTTGGAAATAGGCAATGTCATTATCGACGCACAATTGCTCGTCATTAAGATGTCTGATATATATACATATATATATATATATATATATATATATATATATATATATATATATATATATAATGTCTATTTTGAGCCAGATAAATAAATCTGATTGTTTATATGGACCTAATAAATATTTAGTAGAGTTTTTGTTCAGTGTGAGCACGTCGTGATGGATAACCGTCTATAGCGTACTGTTGATTATAACAAACTGCCGCGTGTTCGGCCCTCTGCCACATCGGAAGTTCGAAAGACTCCTTTGTTCAAATGATATATGATATGATAATGATATGAAGATCATATGGAGGACCAAGACGAGCCGGAATATGCCTGTCCAAGCGTTGCACCCATCTGGGGCGCTAAATCCTGCAGCAAATCAGCCACCGATTTTCTTTGAAGATAAATATGGGGGAGAAATGCTTGCTAACGCTCGCATGCGTTTTATAACTGTTAGCGTAAAGTCAGCTATAGTGCTCGTCATTTACTGCTAGTATTGAATCCCGTAAGTCAACGACGTCTTTCCGCTTTTATAAAAGTATCATTGTCTGCGTCGAATCTCTTTCAAACGACTGGGTTGTCCGACAATATTTGTGCGCTTTCTTGCACATTGGAGACAACAGACGGGAAAATACAGCGCACATGGAGAAGCGTGTGACGCCAATGCCAAAAGAAGACGCGAAAGGGGAACGCTTACACACTCAAATAATAATAATAATAATAATAATAATAATAATAATAATAATAATAATAATAATAATAATAAAGCTTTACTACTTTGCTCGTATACAGAATGCCCTGCCCGGTATATACGGGTCGTATACGGCGCGGATCGTTTAAGAAGACACCGATTTCTTGCTTTCGCGTTTTCTTTGCCCAAGAGTGACCGAAAAGGGAGTAAAGATTCCTCCCCAATTTTTCTTCTTTTTTTTCGGCCTTTTGGCGAGTCTTCGGTACCGCTGAATATTCCAAGAGGTTTTAATTAAGGAACAGGAAAGGAAACTCCGACTCGCTCGATGGTTTACTGCTTCGACTGAGCTTTTTGCCGATCCTTCACGCCTCGTTAGGAACCGGGACCGCCCGACGACCCGGCGCGGCCGTAAATCTTTATCCTGTTTCTCCCCGGTGTGGCTGGCTTTCCCGCATTTATCTTTTGCTGAGCTCGGCAGCCAAAGCCATCCCGCACTTTTTTTTTTCCACCCAAACAAGGACGATAAAACATGAAAAACCTGGCGCGTCGCTTCCAGTGCGTGCCTGTAAAGGAAAAACGACACAAAACAAAGAACGAAGGAAATTAGAGCAGCTGCCTTTCGAAACTGTGAAAGATTTGTGCTTCGCTCCAGTAGAGTTCGTTTTGCTTTTCAAAGCCCGGGGGGCGTAAAAAGTTGCCAATGCGCGATGTCTACAACGTTTACTCTTTCGCAGACTCGCCGTGCGGGGCTGCGCCATCGGAAGGCGCTCTGTCGAAGAAAAGAGCGGTCGGTGTACTTACACTTCACCGTCGTTGACTGCTACACCATAGAAGAAGGCAACTTCGTAACAAAGTACCCTACACCGCGCCACGAAGTTCGCCCGAATCGGGAGCGAAGCTGTGTTGTACGGGTTCTCCGGACGCGGAAAATAAGCCCCGCGGCTATAGCTCCCCTCTTTTTTTTTCTTCTCAGCCTTCAGATTAAGCACTGCTCGACAATAGCCTCGCTGTTTGGCTTTGCGCTTCGCTGGGTCTCCTGAGCGGTCTGCGTTTGAGACAGACGCGAAAGAAACGGTGGCGTCGGTGGACTTTTCTCTGCGGTTGTTGTCTGAGAAATCTTTTTTTCTCCAGGACGGCGAACGGAGCCCTTGATAGGGTAGGCTTTGATGGAGGTTGAGTCTGCGACAAACCGTCGCCTTGTTTCCCACCGCCTTCGATGGAAAATTTCCGAGAAAGGCTTCCTAAAAGACGGCACAAAACGTCTTGAGCTGACTGGTGTTTTTGCTGTCAATCTTTTTGCTCGGTGAATGTCATGGGACTTCTTTTTGTTGCGGCTGTTAACACAATTTTAAGAAAGGTGGCTACTTTTATTGTGAAGTCAGTAGCAGCAGAAGAACGAAATCAGATCTATAGAGCAACATTTACAGACAAGAAGTGTCAGTTCCATTAGATAGCGCCAAGGATGAACACAGGTCAAAGCCTATGCACTGATGAGACGCTAAGTTGCTTTCAATTTTTTTAGTCAGTTGCGTTGTGTGCACTTCATTTCTGCGAGTGCATCAGCTAGGTTATAGGTTTTGCTGATAGTGTTTGCACCATTCTTGAATATGTGACAAGAGCTTCGCATTTGTGTTCATAGTAGCGTCGCAAAACTACGCAGCTACATCCATTAAAATGAAAGAATATTGAGCTGATTTTAAACATTAAGCCGATTGATCTTAACTGCCAAAGAAAAAAAAAGCTGCATGAGACTTGGCCAAGATTTATCTGAATGTGACACCATAGTAAAGGTTGCTCGGAATAATGCCGGATCGCCGTCCCATACTACACAAATTTACAACTGATGAATAGCATCATGGGCAGCGTTGTTATGTGTACTACCGCAAAGTTTTGTTTTGTTTGTGTTCGTCTTTATTCAGCACGATAAAAAGTCTGTGAGGACGTAGTTCATATTGATCTCCCTTAATTCAGAAACTTATTACTTACTGATGTTCCTTCAGGGAGAAACTTCTTGCCAGAATTGGCCAGTTCAGAGTTCACAGTTCGCCTTCATCCCACTCGTGGGGTACAACTCGTGGGACCACTCGCGGGATACCACTCGTGGGACATACCACTCGTGGGACATACCACTCGTGGGATGTCCCACGAGTGGTCGTGGAACTTCGGGATGACGGATTCAATCACAGGCTTCGGCAGCTGCCTTTCAAAAAGAGCTGAACGCAGCCATAATAACACATTGTGATCACTGGACTATTGGACGAGCACTTAGCTCAGTACAATTGTACCTACAGCTCCGGAACATTTAATAGACTAGTCTTAACCAGACACTAGGCTCGATTCGTCAGTCAGCGTTATCGTTCTGAAATAACGCAGTTCTATTAAGTATCCTCGACTTGTATATAAAAGTAAGAATCGTCTGCTCTCTCGCTTATTTGTTTGTGTCATAGACATTGTGGTAGAATAGGTCACAGCTAGTGATCCCGAATTCTTAGAACAATCAATACATAAAATTCCGTATTTTTAGTGTTTTTTTTTATAGTGTGATTCAACTTGGTGCTTTTTTACAGGATCTGACGTCTATTGCCCGCTTTTTCTCACAATTTGTGACGGTAAGCTTCTGGAAATTAATTCATTTGATCGATCAATTATTCCGCAAATTTGTAAGATTTTCGAAGATGGCTTTTCACAAAACGTGATTTGCAAGAAGAATCAATCTGCATTTTCACGTTGAAGTCGGTTCTATTGGAATTGTGCAGAATGTCTGACCGGTATTCATTCCTTATGCACTTATCAAAATTTTCCTAGATACGTCGTCATTCCACCATTCAGAAGTATGAAATGTTTGCGCTGGAATACTCACTATGTAGAAGACAATATTTTTATTTTTTTTATTTTTGAAGTGTAACATGCAAACTTAAACGCTTAAGTTTACATTTAAAATATGAAACATTTGTTTTTACGTGAAGCATATCGAGAGATCTGCGATGAAGTTCAAGTGGACACACACAGTATTGCTTGGAACGCTAATACTTTATAGCCCTTAGCATTAGTGACCAGTCTAGAATTCCAGAACCAATATTTTCACACTTGTACCTGACATACGGGAGAGAGACAAACGGCTAATATTTTTTTTTGCTCACGAAATATGGAATGAGCAGGCTGTCTTACCATGTGCCACGCTTGCTCAATGATTTTGAAAGAAATGACATTAGAATAGAGAAAATTTCAAGAAGGGCACTAAAGTGGTATGTGGTTGAGCACTTCTTTTCAAACAAGTAGTGCGCGTTATTCTATCTCTATAAAATGATTTGCCTGAAATATATTATATTCTAAACTTTTCGGTGTTTTTTTTTTGAAGTTGAATTATTCACATTCTTAATTTTTTCATCAGCGTAGTCATTATCTTTATATATGAATTTTATGAATTCATAATAGTCTTTATAACGTACACAAATTATGTATGTCTAAATTTTGTGAAATAATCTGTGCTGTTTCATTATTGTACATTATTCCTGCTTTCTTTACGCACTGTTCACTTTTAACATCTTTTGTTTGCTCAAATAAACCGTATGCTTCATAACTGCGGTGTATTAATTTCCATGTATACATTTACTCTCCTTGACTGCTATTTCGTGTATGAAAACCAGAAGTGTTTAGTAAACAATGTAGAACTGAAAATGTTTAGATGTAGTGCGTTATTTCTTGGCTGTCAAGAATTTGGGCAAGGACATTTGTCAAGCTATTAGATAGCAGCTTTTTGTTCTTGTCCTCAAGTTCATACCTTGCCGTAATAAATGCTCAATAAAATTGATTGATTGTTTGATTGATCGACTGGTATTACAAAGGAAGTCTTGTCGGTACATTGTCTCCAGCCTGGGGTTTCCTTTCTTCCATAATCATAGATATCTACAACCTCAACCAGCCTGGGGATTCCTTTCTTCCATATTCATAGATATCTACAACCTCAACCTTCCTGTAACCTCTTGTTCTTTTCTAGATCGCCAGAATTTAGATCGTGCACATACTAAAAGCAAGATAGATTTTTACATTTTTTTATTTTTAATTAGCGACCTTCCTGTGGTATTCTACTATTATATTTAGTATTTCACACTGCCTTAAATTGCGTTTCACTCGGACACCTCACATTACCTTTCTCTGTTAGCGAGTGTGCTTCACTGCAATACACGCTTTCTCGATTAATATCAGCGCCAAAACACGGCTTCAGCATGAGATTCTTGTATGCGCCTCATTCTTCACATAACGCGATAACTGAGCACGTACGCGTCGATCTTCGCGAATTGCTTTGCAAAAAGTGTGCTTCCTCTCACAAAGTGTGTAGTTGCGGCAAAGCACGCTCTACAGGCGTGCCACCAATTCATTGAGGCCGACAGACACCGAATTTTATTGAGACAGACACAGAACTTCATTGAATCTATTGGGGCTTTTTTTGTTTGTGTCTGTGTCTTTCTGCACTGTTCACCAATAAATTAATGCAGCTTGCTCATTTTTCCATCCTAAAGGAGAGGTATCGTACACCCCGATTTATTGACTGATTGATGTTATTTTAACGCTCCAATATGTTCTTGCATCACCCTCAGACGGAGTATTTCTACGCCAGAATGGGCATCACCGTCGTAGCGAGCATCGCCAAGGTAAGCTCCAAACGTCACAGACCAAAATGTTTCGCATGATTCCGTGACGATACTTATGTGGCTACTCGTGATTGTTCCTCAATCGTCATCCTAGCTTCATTCTTATAACTTCGTCATACAGTCTTCTTCATGCGTTTATAATATTGCAAGCATTTTCAAAACAACATCTCATTATCATCCCACGTTGTCGTTGACATAGTACCCAAGAGGTTACAACGACGTCAATCGTATGGCCATGCCATCATACGAATCATCACACGATTTACCCTTAAGAGGCTCTGGAAAGGGAACTACGTGAGGGCTGTCACTGTAATTTGAGAACAGCACTTCGTCACTTACCTAAAAAATTAAATACAGAGTAGTGGAGCATACGCACCAACGCATATGCGCCTTCGGAAGACAACGAAAAGCCCGTGCTCTGATTGCGCGAGAACCTGTGCCGCCTTTGCCAGACTTGCTGTTCGCCCATTTTCCGTCGCGACCTCGTTGCGACTCCTCTGTTCGAATAAACATCATCACATTTGGTGGAGGCTGCTGAGATCCCTAAGCAGACCTGGAGCTCCGCTCTCGCAAGTTGGCCGAAAGACCACCGTACAACATGACTGACGCAGTCGCCAACCAGCCCATCCCAGCACAGCCAGCACCATCGGCTGCCCCGTCGACCTGCCCCGGTGCTACCCGTCAGCGGGACGCACCAATCTTCAGCGGCAGTGGTGAGCAAGACGTCGAAGACTGGCTCTCCTTGTACGAACGCGTGAGTGCCAGCAACAAATGGGACAACGACTCTAAGCTTGCCTATGTTATCTTTTACTTGGCTGACGTCGCCAAGCTATGGTTCACCAACCGCGAAACCACCATCGCCAGCTGGTCCACCTTTAAGACCCTCGTGACCGAAGCGTTCGGCCGACCAGAGGTCCGCAAGCTCCGCGCTGACCAGCGTCTGCGCCACCGAGCCCAGCAACCTGGCGAGACCTTTACTAGCTATATTGAGGATGTGCTCGACCTCTGCAGGCGTGTTAACTCATCCATGCCTGAAGAAGAGAAAATTCGACATATTCTCAAAGGCATCGAGGATGGCGCATTCCATATGTTGCTGGCGAAAAGCCCGACCACGATGGCAGTCCTCGTAAGCATGTGCCAGAGCTTCGATGAATTGCGTCGTCAGCGTTCCGTCGCCCGACAGAGTGTCCCATCACCAGATTCGATCTCGGCCGTCGCACTCGCAAATGGGAACGTTCACCAAGGAACTCTGTCGAACCAGATTAAAGACTTCATCAGGGAGGAAGTCGCCCGACAGCTCTCCCTGCTGCCGCATAGCGATGCACCCACGACAAGCCTCCCTTCGAATATGCAGCAGGCCATACGCACTGATATTTGCAATGCCCTCCCTACAGTTCCGGCCTCTTACCCATGCACTTCGGTGCCATCTGATCTCTCAACTGCTGGCTACGCACCAACTGCGCCGCCTTCACCTCTCTCAGCTACGCAGCTGAGGTCGCGCGGCCCCCACCGCATCCAGTCGCCTTATCGGCTCCACCTCCTCCGGCCTCGCCTCCAGTTTACAGGCCCCCACCTCGCTTTTTCCGTCCATCTAATGAGTGGCGCACCTGAGACAATCGTCCCATCTGCTTCGCGTGTGGCATCGCTGGACACATTGCACGCTTCTGCCGCCGCCGTCCCACACCTGCGCACGCATACTTCGGAGCTTCTACCTACGCACCGCAGCAAACCACCACGTCTGCATATGAACAGAGGCACTCCGACTTGGATCACCACCCATCGACTGCTCGTTTCCCATCACCTCGTCGCCGATCGCCATCGCCTATGCGTCGTCGACCACCTCCTGAGGAGGGAAACTACTCAGTGCAGTTCCGGAGGCAAGAACTGCACCTTGTGCGCAATTCCCAAGGCCTCCATTTTCACCGCAAAATGTTGTTGATGTCGATGTTGAGGGAGTCACCACATTAGCGTTAATTGATACCGGGGCCGCCGTTTCTGTGATGAACGCAAAATTTTGTAGGAAACTGAAGAAAGTGACCACATCTCTCAGTGGCTTGGTGCTGTCCACGGCTAGCGCGCGACGCATTCATCCCTCGGCTGTGTGTGCGGCGCGCGTCGTCATCCGAGACGTTTTGTACGTCGTACAGTTTTTTGTTCTACCATCTTGCTCTCATGACCTTATCCTGGGTTGGGATTTCTTATCACGTCCTGAAGCTATCATCGATTGTTCCCGTGCCGAAGTGTCCCTTGTGCCAACATGTGAATTTCCACCACCCGACCGTTCTCCTCTGCTCTGCAAACTCATCGCTGATGACGACATCACCTTGCCTCCTGAAGCTTCGGTCCCTATTAGCCTTTCATGTGTGGCGCAACTTGACGGCACGGTGGTGTTTACGCCATCTCCGGTTTTTACTGAACGCAAGGGCATCGTTCTCCCATTTGCTGTTCTTACGATTGCGTCTGGTTTAACCGTAATGCTGGTCACCAACCACTGCAACTACCCCATTGGCTTACTTCATGGTGAAACGTTAGGATATGTGCAACCTGTCGACCATATCGATGATATTATTCTTCCCGACGAAACGCCATGTCACATTGCTGCAATCACTCATGCGTCTGAGCCATCAAGTTCGTCAGCCTTCGACAATGCTATTGACGCAGACCTTCCCCTCTCGCATCACCACCAACTTGTTGTTCTCCTTAACAAGTTTCGTTTTCTTTCGACTTTCTAGAACCTGCTTTGGGCCGCACCACGACTATCACTCATACTATTGACACCGGCTCACATTCGCCTCTGCGACAGCGTCCTTACCACGTTTCCGCCGAAGAGCGCCGCGTCATTACGGAGCAAGTAGATGACATGCTTAAACGTGGAGTCATACAGCCTTCTCAAAGCGCTTGGTCATCACCTGTGGTTCTGGTCAAGAAAAAAGATGGCACCGTACGATTTTGCGTGGACTATCGCCGCTTAAACAATATTACGAAAAAAGATGTCTACCCGCTACCACGAATAGACGATGCTCTTGACTGTTTAGAAGGCGCCGAGTACTTTACATCTTTGGATCTGCGTTGTGGGTATTGGCAGGTGCCAATGGCTGAATGTGATCGCCCTAAAACAGCCTTTGTAACGCCGGATGGCCTATATGAGTTCAAAGTCATGCCATTTGGGCTCTGCAACGCACCTGCCACATTTGAACGCATGATCGACACCATCTTGCGTGCCCACAAGTGGAAAACCTGCTTATGTTACCTGGACGACATCGTAGTCTTTTCCTCTGATTTCCCGACACATCTTGCTCGCCTCCACGAGATTCTGACGTGTCTAACTTCTGCAGGCCTACAACTTAACTCCAAGAAGTGCCACTTCGCAGCACGAAAACTAACCATCTTGGGACATGTCATCACAAGAGACGGTGTTCTTCCGGATCCCGATAAGCTTCGAGCTGTCGATGACTTTCCGTTGCCCACATCACTGAAAGCCCTAAGAAGTTTCGTCGGTCTCTACTCCTACTTTCGTCGCTTCGTGCACAACTTCGCGTCCATCATCGCACCTCTCACGAGTCTGCTTTCCAACAGCAAAGGCATATCTGCATGGTCACCTGCATGTGACGACGCATTTCGCCAGCTGCGCCGCCTGCTGACCTCACCACCTATTCTTCGTCACTTCGACCCTGCTGCGGCCACAGAAATTCACACCGATGCAAGTGGCATCGGTCTTGGTGCAGTTTTGGCACAACGGAAAGGCACCCAAGCTGAATACGTAGTCGCCTATGCAAGTCGCGCTCTCAAGAAGGCTGAATTGAATTACTCCGTTACAGAGAAGGAGTGTTTGGCCATAATCTGGGCATTGACGAAGTTTCGCCCGTACCTTTACGGCCGTCCTTTCGACGTGGTCACAGACCACCACGCTCTATGTTGGCTGTCCACCTTGAAAGACCCGTCCGGACGCCTGGGGCGTTGGGCACTTCGATTGCAAGAATACGACATCCGTGTCATATATCGTTCCGGTCGCAAGCATGCGGATGCCGATGCACTTTCACGATCGCCATTAACACCAGATGTGGCTTCTCTGTCTCCCCCTTTTACCACCTTGTCACCACTCGACACGACTGACATGCTTTCGAAGCAGCGTAAAGACCCATACCTTGCCTTGTTAGTCGACTACCTTACCGATCCGTCTGCTGTCCCTTCCACGAGAGTGCTACGCCGGCAAGCAGCCCACTTTTCCTTACGAGACAACATTCTGTACCGACGCAACTACATGCCTGGTGGTCGGAAGTGGCTCCTTGCTGTCCCAATTCATATGCGCTCTGACATCTGTATGAATTTCCATGCAGATCCCCAAAGTGCTCACGCAGGTGTCCTGAAAACCTACGAAAGGCTGCGCCAACGCTATTACTGGCGAGGAATGTATCGCTTTGTGCAGAAATACGTTCAGTCTTGCACCACTTGCCAACAGAACAAGACACCTCCGCGGCACCTTACTGGCATGTTACAGCCGCTCCCGTGCCCGGCTCGCCCATTCGACCGCGTGGGTATAGACCTCTATGGCCCCCTCCCATATAGTAGCTCTGAAAACCGGTGGATTATTGTCGGAGTCGATCATCTGACACGTTACGCTGAGACTGCAGCTCTACCGGCAGCGACCACCCACGAAGTTGCACTCTTCATTCTCCGCAGCTTCATTCTACGCCATGGTGCTCCGCGGGAATTACTCAGTGATAGGGGTCGAGTGTTCCTGTCGGAGGTCATTCAAGCTACCCTCGCTGAATGCAACATTATCCACCGGAAATCTACCGCATACCATCCACAGACAAGTGGTCTTACTGAGCGGTTCAACCGCACACTTGGCGACATGCTGAGGATGTACACCTCCTCCGACCACACTAACTGGGACGCTGTATTGCCCTTTGTTACCTTCGCTTATAACACCGCGACGCAAGTGACTACCGGTTTTTCCCCGTTCTTTCTATTGTACGGCCGCGAACCTTCCCACCCACTCGACACTATACTACCATACCGCCCTGATGCATCTGAGTGCTCCCCGCTTTCGGAAGTCGCCAGATACGCTGAAGACTGCCGTCAGTTGGCTCGGTCTCTGACAAGTGAGGCTCAAGGTCTACAAAAGACTCGACACGACGACACTCACCGCATAGCTCCTACATTTCGTGCTGGCTCCCTTGTGTGGCTTTGGGCCCCCACACGTTCCTGGCCTGTCTTCTAAACTTCTGGCCCGATACCATGGTCCCTACCGTGTCATTGACGTGACCTCCCCGGTGAATTACATCATCGAGCCATTAACACAATCACCAGATTTGCGCCGTCGAGGACGCGAGACCGTACACGTCGACCGTCTCAAGCCCTACTACGACCCCCTCATTGTGCCTACTCCCCGAGTCGCCAGGATGGCTACCCTTCACCCCGGGGGTATTGTAGTGGAGCATAAGCACCAACGCGTATGCGCCTTCGGAAGACAACGAAAAGCCCGTGCTCTGATTGCGCGAGAACTTGTGCCGCCTTTGCCAGACTTGCTGTTCGCCCATTTTCCGTCGCGACCTCGTTGCGACTCCTCTGTTAAAATAAACATCATCACAACAGGCATTATTTCTTTATTTATTAAGTTGACTTGAATTATTTACTTTTCTTCGAGTGCGCACACACACACACACACAAAAAAAGAGAGGACTGAAGGCATTGACGCCTGGCGAGGTCCTCCTACCAGAAACAACTACAGTTTGCACACAGGCACTAGCAATTAAAAGGGAAGTGACTTAAAACTATTGGCAGCATAAATTGGCAGCAGCAAACACAGGACCGAGTTGACTGGAGGAACATGGGAGAGGCCTTTGTCCTGCAGTGGACGTAGTCAGGCTGATGATGATGACTGAAATTCACACAAATAAGTAAAGGTTCAGGTACATCTTTGAATACTTATAGAAAGATAAAATGTCATTTTGCAGGTAAATATAAAATTGCAAACGTATCACTGTTGTGAGCAGAAATCGCTAAACACAAATAGCAAGCAATATGCACTAAATTTATTAATTTTTTTGTTATCATTGGTGCAGGTGTACATGCTGTACGAGTACATCACGTTCTACAAAGATCTCGAGGATGTGCCTTACAACTACGCGCTTCCGGAGTGAAATAAATAGATGCGTGTCATCTTGACATGACCGTCAGAGGCGTGGCGTCCACTGCGTGTCTTTTTTTTTTCTCTTTTTTTCATTATGCTCTATTTGTAACTTATCGCTCGTGTTCACCGTATAGCCCTCGTTGCTTGAACGTGGCGTATTCGTCACAAAGCTGAGCGTTATCTCATTCGGTGCCAGCACTGTAATTTCGAACGCACTGTAAATTTAGAAATTTGCAAACGCGCCAATATTGAGGGTACTTCTAATAATGTGTTGTATTCTGCTGTCTTTTTTTTTTACTAGTGTTACGCCCCATACGTGGTACACAAAGCTTGCTACATTTATAACAAAGCTATTTGTTCATGTTTAAGGAATGCGCAGAAACGAGGCAGGAAAGGAAGAAACGAATCGATTTGACAACCACTGCACTTTAATGCAAAGTCAGTTACAAGCCAAGAGCAGTGCGACTTTTAACCGTCAGAAGACTTTCCTCCAGCCAATGGTGTCGCTGTGTCAACATGACGTCGCAGCCGACCACTCAGCGCCTACAGCCAGCGTTCGCACCCAAGATTCCACGCCGTGAAGTTGTTCCTCTTAAAGCCTTTATTCCAAGCAAATGTAAAATTTTAGCGAAAAAATTTATTGGCCGGCAAGAGTTATGAATTGCTGCTTTATTGCCGACGGTAAATGTCTGCTCTAGCGGGTCTTATCTCAACCGTGTCATTCCGGTTTTGCGCACTGCCAGCTCTCCCTCCGGCCGAAATGCACTTTGTCCTGGTGACGGCCACTTTGTATCGAACAGTGTACTCAAACACCGATAAACTGCGCAAATATTCCAGTATACATGTGCGTCGCTGGTTGTTTTCAGGCAGCGCCGAGCATTCACGCAGTAGACCAGACAACACGGCAATCGTCGTTACATACTTGGAAGAAAGCCAGCAAAAGCACGAGACCCGAGAAAAAAGGAAGACGCGAACATCGCTTGAACTAAAAAGTGTAACATTAATAAAGAGAATCGTTCCACCAAGAAACTTCGCAACGCATATGTACAGCCATCAGTATCACCTACAACGTCACCCGGTGAAATATAAAGTGCCCAAAATCGTCTTTTTTTTTTTGTGCAACCATCGCGCAACACAATAAATTTCTTGCCAATGAGGCAAATCGACAGTGCACTTGTGCCTTTTCTCCGCTTTCCCAATGTTGTATGCCTCCACGATTTCACGTTCTTCTTAACCCTTTCCTATTCCCGAATAAGTGACATTACTGAGAAGCGGGTAGCAACCACATTCGCGACAGTGACGTGCCAGATTGGCCCCATCATTGGAATGCAAAAAAGTGTAACGCTCACGCAGCATACTATTAGTCTGTTACTCACTATTAATCAGCTACTATACTATTACTATTAATCAGTCGGTATGGCCGCATACCTTACTACAGATCAGGGGAAGGTTGTACACAGCACATGGGGCACACTTATTAGCAGCAGGAACCCGACGAGTATGCACAGCTGCGTTTGAAGATGTTGAGGCTACGCATATGTCAGAACCGCATTTTGTCACATATAACACTCCCCGGCACATAACGTACCACAGTTACAAACCACACAACATATCAAACCTAAATCGAGCAATCGCATATTGTCATAAAGCCGGCTTCTTTGCGTTATCGATAATGAGTGCTGCGAAGTCAAGTCGCGCACTAAAAATGCTTCGAATTTTTAATGTTTGTATACGGAACTAGACAATATATCGAATGAATTACCGTTTTTCTACTAGAAGTTCAAAAAATTAACAAACCCCGACCTGCAATAGTTGCACTATTTGATTGTCTGTAGAAGACAGCCAAATTTTTGTATGAACAAATAAATGACTAGAAAGCCACTGAAAGCAATTCGTATTAATTCAGGATGATGTATTTCAGGTAGTGGACATTTGCTTCAGCGAGAATATGAGCGTTTATTATACAAAACAAGGAGCCACGACCAGCAGATTCTTGGTTGTTGCACAGCTAGATAGATATATATGTAGATAGAAATGCTCCAAGTGTCCAAAGTTCACTGCGAAATGCTTTGCATTTAAAAGTGTTCAAAACAAAAATGCAAGTGTGACTTAGCTTCTTCCCCCGTGCCATCCCTCCCTGCTTAGCTTCACATGTTCGTTGCAACTAGAAGAGAGAAAAAGCAATTGCAATGTGCGACAAATCTTCAACTCTGCTTTTACAAATTTTCCCAGCGTTCAATTTGTGAGGCAATGATCTCTAGTGAAGCCGTTTGACGGTTACTCAGAAAAATGTTGCAAGGCTCCTTTAAGAGGGCCCATATGTACGAGTGATGAAAGAAATGAAAGAAAGAAGGAAGACAGATTATGAAAAAAAAAAGTGCTTTATTCTTTATTAACAAAGACAAGTGGCACATAAAAGGTGCATACTTGAATAAATTACACAATCTTAAATCAAGGTGCGACCATGGCATGCCGCACTGCACTCTATCAAGGAATGGAGAGACAGGATTTCTTAAGCCTTGCACTTCACCGCCGCACGGAGTGCGTTGCTTCTTGAAGACTTGAGAATCACTTGTGCTCGCTGCATATGACTAGGCATGAACAGCTTGGCATTACACGACATGTTGCACAAGGCACACTGTACATGGAGACGACACTTGTGTACTTCCTTGACAAAAAATGCTGGCCCAATCCAGTGTGGTCGAACATATTTAACCCATATGCACCACCCTTTGGCTCGTTTTTGGACGATCTTGTTCACGACATGGAAACCGTGCATGTTTGCCGTAGCAGCATACTTATTGTTAAATTGCCCCATTAACAAAAAATGTGAGAGTCACTTCAAGCAAGGCTGGAGCTTCAACAGGAGCCATCATGGCCTGCATTTTTTTTTTGTAGTAGTGATGGCGTAGTGAATAAAAAATTTCAGCATGTCAGGTGCTGCCAACTCTGGTCGTGCACCTGAACTATGAGCTGTGAAGTATGCGGCCGTTTTTCGAGAACAACAAGCGAATTCCTGTTTCGCACGTCCACACCTCATGACCACAAAGGAAGTTCGGGCAGCGCATCATGTGTTCGACCAACTGTACCAAAAGCACACAAGGCTGCCAGGCACGCATGAATGTGTCGTGCACACGCATAAAAGCACATCTATCTGAATTAATTTCACTCACGTACACAATTATGCCAAACAATTCACGTCAGCAAACGTATATGTCAGCGAAATAATATTCACACGATTATCATTCAGACAGACACGCATGTTTTGCTTTGATGTCAGGACAAATAACCCTTTTTTCTTGCTAAGTAGGCCTGCAAATAGAATTCCAAGTGGCCACATGCTATCTACAAGACTACAGTAAGACCGAAAAAAAAGAAATATTCACAAGAAAAAAATATAATGCTATGTACTATATACAAGTAGAGCACTGCCCCCATTTTCTAATCGACGCTCATCACTATTTTTACAGGCTTTCCAAACTAAGTTTGCCAAAACGTTCTTCCACGGCTGGCAATAACCATTTACTCAAATTCAAAACAAAAGTTCACCATTCAGAACAAATAGAGTAAAACAACTTTTCACGACGATGTGTACATACTATTTCAGCTCGTGTAACCAATAAAGCGCTTGGCAGTGGGACATAAAACATACATTCAACAGGAACTGACATCCACTGCATCTGTATAACACGAAAGATCATTACGCAATGGTTCAGTGGGCACAGCAATAGCTGCTCAACAGAAATGGAAAAAAGTGGAACATTCTGAAACAAGGCGGCTTCTGTTTGCAACATTCTGCATATTTTCACAAGATGAAACTTTCACTGTCGGCTCAAACTTTGCCCTCGGAATTCACCACAAGCCTGAAGCCCGACAAAAATATTAAGAAAAAGAGGACCACCAACTTCTGTTACCACATTAACAATCAGCCAGGAGCTATTTATATAACGAAAACGTGTTCCACGCAGAACACTGCTATACTTTCATTATGACGACGACTAACATCAGTGAGGGGGGAGGGGCACAACAACAGGAACACGAGACAAGAAAGGGATCAATCGGTGGCTGTGACTGTGATAGTCTTGCCCTTGGGGTCGTCGAAGCGGTCGTTTGTGCGGATGTCGTAGATGAAGAACACACCCGTGCCCAGAATGACGAGGTACAGCAGCACAACCAGCAGGCCCATCCAGATGACCGTGGTGAAGAAGCCTGCACAGTCATAGCTTTCCGAGAATTGACCAGTGTTATTCTGGACAAGCTCGACCTGAAAGAGGAAAAGAGAATTTAACTAGGCCCGTGCACATAATCAAGCATATTGAACATTTGAAAGAGTATTGCAGTATTTGAGTTAGACCCCACATTAATTTGAAATCTGCAAAATTTCCAAGTAACTCAAACCTCAATGTAAACAAAATGGATATAACAAAATACTGCTTACAACAAAGTAAATGAAGAATACTCTTGCAATTAGATACAGTGACAGGAATATACCTTTATAACAAACTTTCGGATATAACAAACTTATTCACGTGTAATATGCCACTTCATTATAATGAGGTTTGACTGTATTTGAATAATGAATAGACACTACTTGATAAAGGTACCAATATGGATATGCTGGTTCATTGTAAACTGGTTGTTACACAGTGTAGAAACAGACACAGAAAAAGAATTACAAAAAAACAACACTTGTGTTTGTTGTTACTTCTTTCTCCTCGTTTGTTTCCGTGCTATGCTACAACACATTTTACAGCATGAAAACCACCTGAAAAGATAACTTCACTGCATTCTGAAGTTTCACATGTTAGAACGACATGATTATGATGAATGTAGATGAAGAGACTTCAGGTTAATGTTAATGTGCTTGAGTTCATGTTTCTAAATATAAATGCACGAATTTTCTAGCGTTTCGCACCCACTAAACGCAGCTGTGGTGGCTGGGAATCAAACTCGTGCCCTGGTATCTATCAGGATCAGGAAAACACTGCTACAGCCACTAAGCTACTGCAGCTCGTGAAGTGCAGCCCTGCAGGTGACTCACTTGGAAGGTGTCCAGCTGCAGCTGCAACTGCGGCAGCTTGGTAGCATTGTACTGCCGGAATGGCGACAAGGAGCAGGAGAAGGAGAAGCCTCGGGGCCACCAGAGGTCCTTGACCCGCATCTGCAGGTCCTTGTAGTCTTTCAGAGTGGCATTCATCTCGGAGAGGGCATAGCCACCACGATAATCATACTTGAACACCATCCTGAAACAGCATCAGAAAACATATTGTACACTCTAATGTACCAGTAACATCATGTGCTCCTGCTCCATGAAAAATATCGCATTTCTGGTTACCAATATCCTTGGCATGGTGACCAAATATTTTATGGACGTTTTCAGTGCTGCTATAATGGGCTGCTTTCCTCGCCATTCATTATATTTAGCTGAACAAACAGTGCGATGGTGGCAGTACATACATGAAAATGGTTGAGTTGGTACGTCCCAAGTTTCATGACCTTGTCAATACTCGTCCCAAGATACCATATTTTCGCGCGCATAACTTGCACCAAAAACCCAAAAACTTCAGTGGCAAAGTGGAGGTGCGGATAATACGTGGGTTTTTCCTATAGTGCTGCTTCGCAGCAATGCGTGTTGTGCTGTGAAGCCCCTTAACAGTGTAGCGAAGGCTACGGAGGCGGTTAACGCAAATTCGTGTTGCTCCGCAAGTAGCACGGCAGCTTGCGGCCGATTTTGGTTTCGCTTGCTTGCATCGTTGAAGCGCTTAGAAAAACATTTGGGGAAAGACAATTCGATTGTTCAGTGTAAAATCTCACTGTCACACCACAAGTATAATTTTTGGACGTTCGCGGCCGCTCAGTGACCCTCCACATGTCCCTACGTCACGGACGCCATGTTTACTTTCGAAAAGGGCTCGCCGAAAAAGTGGTGCTGTCTAAGAAAGTTTCACAATAAATAAAGTAAGTTTTACAATAAATAAAGCAGTACTTATTTCAGCGAGGCAAATGAGATATTATAGTGCCTATAGATATATCAGTAAATTAATGTACTACTTTTTGACGCGATAGCAGGCTTGCATTTCGGTTCTGTTGTTTCCAGGGTGCTGTTACAGTGTACTAGAAGGGGTAGTGCTGTCAAGTTGTCGCCGAGTGTGAGCGCTCTTTACATCGCTGATACCGCTAGTTCTCCACATGTCAACCCGTTCGCCAAGCCTAAGTCGATCTGTTCTGTCACTATGAGTAGCGTACCGCGGCAGGCCTTCACGGCACAGCAAAAGCTTAAGATCATCGCCGTCACCCAGGAATTCAGAAATCGCGAAGCAAGAAGATGGCACGATGTGGACGAGTCCTGCGTGCGACTGTGGAGAAAGAAGAAAGAGCCTACAAGCCGCGCACCGCGACTGTAGGTCATTTCGTGGCCCCAAGACCAATGCCTACCCTGAGCTGGAGGCGGAGCTAGTAAAGTTCATCGAAGGTGTGAGAAGCAGGGGTCACGCCGTATCAACCGAGATGGCCCAAGTGGAAGCGCAACGACTTTCGAGGGAGCTAGGCCTACCTCACGAGTTCCGTGCGAGCCGCAGATGGCGGCACCGCTTTATGAAGCGGCAAGGGCTCTCAATCAGACGGCGGACTACAATATGTCAACGCTTGCCGGCTTCTTATGAGGAGAAGCTGCTCAAGTACCAGAGATATGTAATCGGCCTGCGAAAGCAGCACAATTACATTTTCTCGCAAATCAACAATGCGGATGAAACTCCTGTTTATTTTGAAATGCCATTGGACACAATAATTGAGAAGACAAGCAGCAGTTCGGTGAGCGTGCTGACCGGCGGGAACACGAAACTGCGCATCACAGTCTTACTTTGTGCCCTCCCCGACGGCACGCAACTGCGACCGTACGTCATCTTCAAAAGGAAAACTCTACCAAAGGTTCATTTGCCTGCCGGTGTGGTGGTGCGCGCCCACGAGAACGCGTAGATGAACAGTGACTTGTTCGTAGACTGGATCAAGACGGTATGGGAGAAGAGGCCCGGTGCGATGCTCGCAAAGAGGTACATGCTCGTTCTTGACCCGTTCCGCGGCCACACAACTGCAGAAGTGAAGGACCACCTTTCACGCAACGGCACCGACTTAGTTGTTATACCCGGTGGAATGACGTCAATGTTGCAGCTTCTAGATGTGTCGCTTAACAAGCCCTTTAAAGCCCATGTCAAGCGCTGTTACGCCGAGTGGATGGCCGAAGGCTGCTACGACTTGACGCCGACAGGACGAATCCGAAGGCCTGATATTGCCCTATTCTGCAAGTGGATTGTCGAGGCACGGAAGGCCATTCCAGGTGAAATGGTGCGAAAATGTTTCAAGAAATGCTGCATCACAAACAACATGAATGGAACCGAAGATGACCTTGTGCATAATAGTGAGGACTGCGGCTCAAGTGATAGCTCTAGCGAGAGCAGCGACAGTGAGTGAATTGTGACTGGCCTTGCAGACAGCGTATTCTGATTGCTCAATAAAGCTTTTTCTGTCTACATATGTGCTTTGTTGCTTGAGCAGTAGCTTTTGTACAGCCTTTCCGGTATATCAAATGTGCGGGCAATACGGGAGGATTTTTTTTCTTTCTAGGTGAGCTGAAAGTGAGGGTGTGGATTATATGCAGGGGGGGGTTATACGCGCAAAAATACGGTACACAAATAAGAGAACATTTGTTTAACAACACAAGCTGGCACCACCCGTAAGTCTTATGTGAAGTCCTCCATGCAAACAGGCACTGCAATGCATCGACTGCAAGTAATGATGAGAACAAAAGCACGATTGTTTGTCCCCATAATTACCTCTAGTAAGCAGCCATAATTACATGCTTGACAATGTATTTGGCGAGTACCATAGGCGCCAATGTAAAATGCACTGTACACTGGAACAGGAACAATGTCAGAACACAAAATGAGGTAACCCCACTAATGGAAAGCGTCTATAAAGTAATCGCTAGAACGAGGCCCGTTTTTTCTGATTCAACAGAAATTTACATTTTTACTTCTTCCCAAAACTTGTGAAAAATTGCTTTTGGTGCCGTGCAGAACAAAAACGTGAAGATGAGGTACAGCCTGATCGTGCAAGCTTCTACTGGTGTATGCAGTTGATTGTTTCTAAAGAACGTTTTTTTTTAACAATACAGATTTTTCATAAAAGTGCTACGACAATCAGGCTTCTGCAGTCTTCGCAAACAGACTCTATGTCAACGTGGAAAAACTTTGCTGTGGCTAAATTCACATTCAAATGAGTAATTAACCAAACTTTTCTTATGAACTTTTTTATTACAGGAGATTCTCAATGATACGATTATGGTTGATCTGAATTTCACAATGATACAAATTTTAAGGTTGTATTGAATGGACTACATTATATAAAATACGGCGTGATTCGGTGTTATGCCACCGCGAATGATACGAAGGAGCGATTGACTACTAGGCAACACTGCTTGTCTGTGGGAGGAAGGCCCATTCACTCTTGCCCTCGAAAAGCGAAAAAAACGATTTTTCAATTTTGTTGTTGTTGCATTCAGGACATCTTCCTGCACGTTCTCGCAAAACTCTAGGCCTGTAAACAGTATAGTTTTCCCGGACGATCATATTTACTACGCGAACTTTCTAGTTTCGCTCGCGGTAAACGCCATAAAACGATCAGTTTCGCGCCACCGCCGATTTGCAACCGTGCCACGGAGCGCAGCCATCTTGGCCTCCTTTGAAACTGCATCCTTCGCCCTTTTTTTTCCGCCAAACGCGAGTTTTCAGTGATACGCTGTAACTGAATAATCAAACAAAAAAGAAAACGAAACCTAGCTATCTCATTGGCCCACAGCCGCCACGTGACAAAAGTGCGCCTCCTCATTGGTCCGTGGTTGTTTCCGGCTGCTTGCAGCGAAAACGAACTGCCGTCATTTTGAAGGAGTCTATTGTCGTCTGTCGTCGTGCGCCATGCCTAACGGTTATCGGAAATTTCGCACCGCGCACAAGTTTGGTAAATCGCGACGGAAGCGTGTTGCGAAGCGAAGAAATGCATCGCTGCCTTCGACGGAGCCCGCTGTGCACCTTGGACCAACATCAGATAACACGACAACGGCGGAACGCGAGGCGGCGACTGACGCGCACGCCCTGGACTTCGCCCCGACGGTTGCGGCAGCGGCCGTGCAGGACACCGGAGCTGCGCGGCCTGAGCGCACAAGATTGGACTCGACTTTTTTAACAAGTGCAGATTGTGCTTTGCGCGAGCAACAAACGCAGCAGAGACTTTCCCAGCTAGCGTCAGTATCGGCGACGGAAAGGAAAATGAAGTGCGTCGCGAGTGACAGTGCCCCGAGTTCAACCACGGCGTATACGGTTGTTGACCTGGACCTTGTAAATAACCTGTTCGAGGTTGGTAGTTGCCGTGTGTGCCGTGGTGATCTAACTATTGAGAGGGACACGCGTGAGTACGGCATCGCCGTGAAACTGACAGTGTCGTGCAGCAATTGCGGTGAACTGCGATCGCAGTGGAGCTCGCGGCGAGTTGCTGGCTCGGCGACGTGCAATCCCTTCGAAATAAATATTCTCGCTGCACGGGCAGTGCAAAGCACGGGGAATGGGCAGACTGCCCTAAATGACATTTTTTCTGCCATTGGAGTTTCTGACAGAGGTCTTCACAACAAGACCTACCAGCATTATTTGAAGACCAAGCTGAACCCAGCTACGGCAAAAGCATGCTCTGAGAACTTGGCAAAGTGTGCTGCCGAAGTGAAACAGCTGTACAGTGACCTGAATTTTGGAAATCCGGGTAACATTGCTGTTTGTTTTGATGGCTCATGGCACACACGTGGACACTCTTCTCACATTGGTTTGGCCACCGTGATTGAGCTATTTACAGGATATGTGCTAGATTACGTGGTTCTCTCCAATTTCTGCCTCGGCTGTGAGTGTGGGCCGCAGCCAGATAGCCCAGATTATGCTGCATGGAAGGCACAGCACTTATGCCAAAAAAACACAAGCTGCAAAGCAGGCCAAATGGAAGTTGAGGCAGCAAAGATTCTGTTTCAACGTTCACTCTCTCTGCATGGCCTCAGATATACAACCATGCTCTGTGATGGTGATAGCCGCTCATTCATTGCCATTGATGAAGCCAAAGTTTATGGCTTTATTCCTGTGGTAAAAGAAGAGTGCACCAACCACATTCAGAAGCGAATGGGCACAGCGCTTCGCACCCTTGTGCAAAAGCACAAGTCAGGTGATGCGCAGCGCATTAGTGGTAAAGGACGGCTGACCGCAGACCTGATCACCAAGATCTCCAGCTATTATGGATGGGCTATCAAGTCTTTTGCTGGAGACTTAGATAAAATGCACAACGCAGTGTGGGCCACATTCTATCACATTACGTCGACAGATGAGAAGCCCAATCATAACTTCTGTCCGGATGGTCCTGACTCATGGTGTAAATATAACTCGGCCATGGCAAAAAACGAACCACCACCAAAAAGCAGGTACAACTTGCCAGAAGCGGTCAGCAGTGCACTGCGGCCCATTTTTGAGCGTCTGGCTGACAAGAAGTTGCTGCAGCGGTGCCTGAGAGGGCAAACTCAGAACGCTAATGAGGCACTGCATTCAGTCATTTGGAGCCTCGCGCCCAAAGACAAAAATGCCTCACTATATGCAGTCGAGGCAGCAGTTGGAGAGGCTGTGATGAGGTTCAACCTTGGCACCCACAATGCCAGCTCAAGCATATTGCGAGAGCTCCAAGTAGAGCAAACCGCCAAGGGTAGCCGAAGGGCTAATGAAAAGGACTCCCAACGCACTATCAATGCAGAAAGGGAGAGGGGGTCATCAGCAGCCTTTCAGGCAGCTGCAAAGCGGAGGCAAAGAGGAAAGCCCCACCCAGATTATTCTCCAGGAGCCTTCTGAGCCACTGGCTGTTGTAATTTCGCCCATCCAGGAGAATAAAAGGCTTTTTTCACATGTCTATTAGTTTTTCCCACTTTTCTCAAAACACTTTTATTGGCCGTCTCCAATTTTCTGGGTGGCTGTTGTTACCCTTCTAATCATCCAATTTTAATGGGTTTTTTTTTGTCTTATAGCTAGACTTCCAAAGAGTGCAATATGCCTATAATACAATGTTTCTTCACCCTGAAACATTTTGAAATTTTGGGCAAACAACAGACAAAGAATTCATGTCTCAATAAAAATTTTTGAACTTTTATAACTTGGGATAAAATAAATGTAGAAACACGAAATTATGCTTCTTGCACTCATTGAGCATTCAGGAATATATAAATATAATTTTTAGCTTGGTTATTGTAAAATATTTTTTGCCAGTCATCCCAGAAGTGTAAAACAGAAAAAGCTGTATAAAATTTTTTCTTCGTGAGATACAGAAAAACTGGTTGCATATTTGAAATCAGCACATTAAATTACATATTACCTGCAAGTTTCATTACTTTAGTAGCAGTAGCAATAAATGTTTTGCCCAAGGCCCATGTCCCCCCTTAACGGCTGGAAAAACACGTTGCGAGGCTGACGCAAAATATTGGTCAGAGACCAATTTTCTTGCCACGCAATAGCAGATCGCCTTTTTGCTTCACCGCTTTGGCTACACCAGCTGCTCTAGCTTTCAAACCATGTCATGTAAACAACTAGCCACCAGTTCAACATGGCGGCAAAGACGTTACTGGTGGATCGCGTCGACGCTATCGCGAACTACTCATGCAGCACGTCAAAGCTCAGGGTCTTGACAAGAACGTGGTCGAAATCCTGGTTTAAATTATGATCGCTGCTAGCACCGGAAGTAGAAGAAGGTGCAGCAACAGCGGGACGGCATGTCCTGCCGTTTTTGCTTGAATTCTCCAGTGTTTAATTCTCCACGACTGACTACTTTTGTGTCCACTTCGCGGCGCAGTTTTACGGCCGCTTAAGCAGCAAAGTGAGTGAATTTCCAATAAGCTTGGCTGCTTTCGCTCCTTTTAATGACAAGTGTGAACGTGCCGCGCCAGCAGCATGTGTGAAAAAACCACGGCACTTTATTGAGAGACCGTGAAGGCAGGAAAGTTAAAAAGAACATCATGGACTTTATTCAGCGAGAAGTCTTTGCCAATAAAGTTCTCATTCATCTTCAATATCAGCTTTAATATGAGCTTGTTTTTGGTTCATACGAATTCGGGATGATACGAATATTTCGTGAGCTCTCTTCGAATTCGTATCAACGAGATTCTACTTGCCAACTTTAAGGGTATTGTTTATATGAAAGAGTTGTAGACCGTTACATTTTATAGCATGCCCATTTTATATGGATCGTAATAATAATAACTGAAATCCAAGGCCCCGATTGAGGTGACACTGAAACAGAGCACACCAGGCACCGAAGAAATTTGTAAACCCCGTCATGTCAGGCCGGAAAACCCACGTCTCGAACTTTGAAAACAGGCGCATCACAGCAGAACATGGTCACGATAAACGGCAAGCCGTCTCAAGAACCCCACGGGACCGCTGCAGTGCAACACTCTTTGTGGTCAATTAAATGAGTGACGACAACGATGACACGAAAAAAATTTTCTGGCTGCCTGTGCTTTGTACACACAAGAAAATCACTTACGAGACGCTGAAGCCCTTGACAAGTCCGGAATCTGGGAACTTCAAAGTGATGCTGTGAAAAGAGAAGGTGACAACCCATGAATAATGGAGAGTGGAAATATTAAGGGTTCATCATTATATTAGCATATTATTAAGAAGTAAGAGGCAACACTGCCAAGAAAAGTGTAGGAGGTCTTATTAGTAGTAAATGTAATATAAATGTGAAGAAATAAAAGTGGACGAAAAGATAACTTGCTACGAGCAGAGACCAAACCTGCGACCTTCGCATAATGCGTCCGATGCTCTACCAACTGAGCTACCGCACCAGCTATCCCCTCCCCCCCCCCCCCCATTCACTTTATGGGGTGTATGTGCGCAATTAAACATGGAAGCGTTAGTCAGCGCCACCAGTAGCCATGACGGCGAGTGTGGATTACTTTTTTTTGCCTCTTGGCGTCACATAGCACGTAATCACAGGGTGGCAGCTGGCCAATAATCCCTCACACCCTGCCAGTAATTATTGGTCAAACAACTCATGAAGTGTTCAATATTTGGCTTTTTCAAATTAACCGAGAGCTTTTCATATTAAAGAAAATATCACGGTAGCCAAATGCGCTTCAACTCGAACCTGACACTTGAGAGATCTCGAGATATCCCAATCAAACAAACAAATGCGGTACTTCCTCTCCACGTAGCCCACCCAGAAAGGTGGTTTTGCCACAGTGTGTTGTAACAATGCCACAAAAATACCTTATCAAAGTCAGTATATACAGCCAGGAATCCATGCTTCAAAGTAACGTGTGCATACTGTCTATTTGCATCCAGAAATATTTTTTAACAATTCACGGCAAGATGTACAGGCGAGGTGTAACAGGTCTTTAAATATCTAATGTTTCAACAAATGCGCTTGAGTGTTTGAGCTGACGTTTCAAGTAAGTCCGCTTATCGAAACATTGGCTCGAGCACAGAATCCCAGTTGACAGACTTTCACATCGCAATTTTCTATTTTCCCCTTCCTGCTGTCTTTTTTATACGAACCGAAAAATTCACACTACCCCTAGTACAAACGGCCAAGACGACTTGAAAGTGAGAGTACCTTCTTTCTTTTCTTTTCAGTTTACTGTATTCTTTAGTGTAAAAAAGATAGTGGCTACAAGCAAGACATTGTTGTACTACCCTGAAAAATCATTGTGTCCGATTACTGTAAACCAACCAGCACAAAGGTACATGTCACGTGCCTTCAGCCTGCTAGCGCTGCCAAAAATTGTTGGCGTGCAACACTAGGGTTAGTGTGGTTACCAAATTTTCTAAATTGTGGCACTGGTACGGCTGTTGAAAGAGTGTTACGTCCCTCAGAAAGCAAAAGTGAAAAAGTAGCATGGTGTGCTACCCTTAAGATCACTTGAAGGCCGAAAACAATTACGCTTAAGATCACTTGAAGGCCGAGAATAATTTTTTTTTTTCCCCGGAGTCGATAGTGTTGACCTTTCCATTCCCTCGGAGCTTACTTCACTGAACCTGGCGTTCCACTGCCTCCGTGATAGAAGGCACTCGCCGTTTTCTGCATCTGACATAGTTTTCCAGTGACTCCAGGATCAGCTCATATTTGGCAGAGAGAGGACATCATACGATGACACCATGACGGGGTGTCAGGTAGTGTCATAATGATGTCGCATATGATCTGTGGCATCATGATGTCATTAATTACAATAGCATCACTTATGTTGACGCCAATTGTCTCTTTTTGCACATGATGAGAAATCTAAGGCTTCTGCCTGAATAGTATCAACATTCAGAACTTCGCAACAGTGGCCAGCAGCAGCATCAGTTCGATGCATATTGCGTCAAATTTCGAATCCTCATGATAACCTTTATTGAAAAAAAAATATATTAATGATAATAAATAAGAGAGAATAATTTTCAAAGCCCTTAAGAACCACCATTTACGATATACACACTTGGCGTGCTGTTTGTCCGAGCTACACTGAGGCACAGGCATAGGACTCAGCGTGTCGTTGTAGGTGACCGAGTTGAACGAGGCTGCCTTGGGATCCTCGGTGAAGGAGACGGTGACCGAGCGGCCGTACATGAGCATACAGTCCTTGCGCACCATGATCACGCCCGAAGTTTCGTTAGATGGCGCTGCCTCAGGCACGGCCAGCAGGTGGCGGCGGGAGCGGGTCAAGTGAGCCGCCTCCAACATTGGCTGTCCATGGTGAGAGAGAGCGTAATAAAATTAAAGCAGAAGCTCCCGACTCAGGCATTGCCAGATGGCACAAAACTTCCATTTACAAATCTATTAAATAACTTATTGCGACACTATCAAACATGTACTAGCATTACTATTTAGCAAACACGAACCGGTATAAGTTAGTGCCAACAAGCGCTGATAGCATGTGACAGGTACCGTATAAACCGGACTATAGGTCGAGTGGGAATATAGGTCGACCCCCCCCCAGTTCAGGTTACTGAAAAAAAAAGAAAAACAACCCAAAACTGCCGAACCACATTTATTTGGGAATTGGGCGCACCGCATCCTGATCGTCAGAGCTCCCCTCTACCACCATCGTAACTGCTCCTATTCGTCCGACGAAGCACCACTGTCTTCTTAAGACGAGAGTTTGTCGCTGGCTGCCTCCCACAGTGTGTCGTCTTCAGTGCCATCCAGCGAGTTGCTGATGCAACATTTCTTGAAATAATTTTCCACCACGGAATCCGGCAAGGAGTCCAGGCGGAAAGCACCCAGCCACAAACAGTCGCAAGCAGGCCTCTGTAGGCGGGTCGTCGGTGTCTTGTGGTTGTCGCCGGACATCCACTCTTGGTATTCCAGCCGCACTCGGTCCTTGAACGGCTTGTTTAGTACAACGTCGAGCGGCTGGAGGGTGGACGTCACACCACCTGGTATCACGGCAAGGTCCGTTTTCCTGTCGCCGAGTGCGCGTTTCACTGCGTCGGTCAAGTGGCCACGAAATGCATCCAACACCAGCATGCTGCGAAGACGCAGCAGTGCACCTGGCCGACGGTTCCACACCACTCGTGTCCATTCGAGCATCATGGCCTCGTCCATGTATCCCTTCTTGTTGACGCGAACGACACCAGGCGGGACACTTCCTTCGGCATTGTCTTGCGTTTGAAAATGACGAAGGGCGGAAGCTTTCTACCATCTGCCGTGCATGCCAGCATGACGGTGAAGCGCGAGTGCTCGTTGCCAGTGGACAGCAGCTTCACATCCTTGGCGCCACACTGCGTGATCGTGGTCGACGAAGGCATGTCAAACCACACAGGGGTCTCATCGGCGTTGCCAATCTGCCCCATCATGTAGTCGTTCTGCTCCCGAAGCCGGTTTACGAAGCGCTGAAAGTTTATGAGCTTGTCCTCGAACTCCTCCAGCAACTTTTCACTGATGTGCGCCGCCGGAGAGAAAATCCTTTGCGTCGCATAAATCGACGCGCCCAAGAGTTCGGTGCACAAAACTCTTCTCTCGTGAGCCCAGCTTCCCGAGCGAATTCCACGGCTTTCTTGCGAATGGTATCCATGGTCACTGGCAGCGAGCGCGCACGAACTTCCCGCACAAAGTCCGCTAGCTAATCCTCCAGCTGCGGATGAACGTCACTTTGTCCGCGAAACGACATTTTTCAAGGATTGCACATCTGCAGCTTCCCTTTTTGCGCCCTCCAATAGCGCACGCTTTTTTCTGATACACCAAAGCGGCACTGAGCAGCCATATTCCCGTTCGCTTCTGCAAACTTAACATCTAGTTTAAACGCAGCTGAGTACTGCCTCCTCGCACCACTAGACATATTCAGTTAACGAAAAAAAAAGGCCACTAAAAATGCAGCGCAATGTCAAGTGGAGCGAAAACTCTGAACAGATCTGAAGCAAATCACGAACACAAAGAAAACAGACTGCGATTGGATTTGGATGTGGATATGACCGCGTTTGGCTTCACAAGCACATGCAAGCCATATGTTGCCAGACAGCGTCGCACTTTCGGCTAGACACCACTATATAATACGAGGGGCGACTTTAGCTTATTATTTTATTGAAAAAATCTACTTATATTTCGGTTTATACGGTATCTGCAAGTGAATGTGCTAGTAGCGTCCTCACTGATCTTCAAAAATAAAGAGGGTCGGAGGGAGTGTTACTAGGATATGCTCTTCTAGCATTGTTATGCTGTTACATGTGCTAATACTGTATACACTTGAATGTATTTAGAGTTTCTTCTCCAGATCTTTGCTACCTAAAGTCCAGCCCTTGCATTCCAATCAATTGCCAAAACTACATTTTTTCTGCCTGGATGCAATAAAGCTGCGCCTCGCATTACAATTATAGACAAGTTACAATCAGGTAAATATGGCACCTTTCTTTCAAAAATGCTTGTGCATTAAAGCTATAGGTTCGCATCACTATTGTCTTGAGCACAAGATATCCTCGTGCGACATTAGCACCACTTATTATGCACTGAATAGTTCAGGCTTTGAACTGCGATGAAATGTGAGCTAATCATAAGCAAAAATTTCTCAAGCAATATGAAAAAAGAGAAATGGAAGCAGGGGGGTTGTGAAAGTGTCATGCTGGTGTGTCCATACGACTGTGACTAAAGATCCTGTTGCTAGAGTTGTGCAAGTAACAAAAACTTGGGTGCAAAGCAAATTCGAATAATAAAATTTGAGTGTGAAGCAAATGAAATAGTTTTCGAATACAGTAGACTCTCAGTAAACGAAACTGCTGCTTCAGCGCAACTATTGCCTCTGCAACCCTTGGTTTCAGGCTTGCATTCTGCACCTAGGTTCACCTCTCAGTAAATGGAACTCCTGTTAAATGGAACATACTTTCCTAGTCCCTTCAGGTCCGTTTAATGAGAGTCTACTGTACTTCAAAGCGAAATTGCAGAGGGTCCCTAAGCATATTCTCATGAGACAGGAACAATTACAAGTCACAATTGTGGTTAAAGAATGAATTTATTCTTAAGGGGCTTTGTGGCTTTAGTATCAGGACAAATGACCAAAAAATCACATTTAATGAAAATCACATCTTCAGTTTCTGTAGCCCCTTTTTCAATTCGAAAATATATCTAGCGATAACTCTGCATGTAGAAAATTTGTTGAGCTCGTTGAGGTGGCGAATATTATTGTAGAAATGGCAAAAAAAAAAGCATTTAAACATTGGTTTGCCAACACTGCAACACACCATTTTCAAGCTGGTCGGCACAATCATTTCTGAGTCTTTGACAGAAAGCGAACGTTTGAAGTTCATTTAAAGACCTTGGATTGATTGGCTACATCCGCTATGTTGCTCCAGCAAGTCTTGCAATTGGTGTGATCCTCATTCTGGGAGAGCCGTCTCCTGCTTGTGCGTCGAGAGATCACGGCTGTCTAAAATCTCACTACTTTGTCCCCTTTGCATTCATTTTGTGTTCACAGGTCAATGGTCATTTAGAATACAACTACACTTCAGTTTGGAAACTACAAGCAGAAGCTCAATCATCAAATTATGATAGCGCGCCGTGGCCGCAGCGAACATCACAGATGTGCATCTCGGAACAACTGTTTTGTTTGTCAGAAGCAAAGACCTCGTGATGAATATTGTGGGACGACTACTTGCACTCATGATCGAACATTACGTACTTTGAAACATCGGGTACCGCGATTACGCACGTTACGACAGAGCCTACTGCTTGGAGTCGTTGCTAGGCTTAACTCCGCTATCGGCGCCGTTATACACAATGAAGAATCAGAGCATTGCAGACAAAGATCTCCTGTGAACAGCCACACCGTGCTTGGTGACAAGCAACACATCGTTTCACTCGCTAGCTCCTCAAAAGATTAAAATCATCGTGAGTTCAAATATTTGCACACCCTTAGTTATTTACTAAAATGTCTCCTAGCTATGGAGTGTATTTTCTGCTTTTTTAAGGCTTAAAAGAAAACATTCAGAAAGTTAACCAGATGGCTCCTAGCTAACGGCAGAATCCCCAATGTGAAAAGAGCTTGTTGAAAGTATCTCGGGTACTCACCGATGCCAAATCTCTGCCCGTGTACAGGCCAAATAACTTCTTGCCTCCCGATGACAGGGCTTGCATGGTGGCCTCCATGATGGTATCTGTAATTGAAGTTCTGGCTGATCAACTGACTGATCATTTGAATCAAGGAATGTTAAAAAGTAGGAGTACAAACTGAAAGCACATAACGTAGGCACAGTGAAATGAATATGAGTAAGCTAACGACCCATGATAGCTAAATCATTACTTTCACAATGACAAAGCTTGACAAGGGGCAAAAATAATTGGTGTACTCAGAAAATATTGAACCCTGTTCTGTCCTATCAACCAATCAAGTGCGGAAAGCTTCGTTCAGTGGAGATATGGAGAACATATCCACACACAAGCCTGAATTTTCTTTTGCTGCAGCAGAAAGCACGATTCACTGGCGATCAGCTCGTGAGTAAGTACGTGTAGTGTGCACTTGCCAGATTTTGACAAGTTGTAAGGTGACGAAACAACACAAGCTGCAACATCGAAATCAAGAGCGCGTACCAGCCTGCTGGAGCGCTGATAACCGACTCTCAACGCCGACGGTTCGAGGCAAGTCCACCAGCAACACCTGGCTGCCGTCGTGCAGGCCGTCCAGGGCAGACTGCACTGCTCCAACGTCGGGGATGTTGAGGCGCGTCACCACGAGGCCACCGTGCGATGTGAGCGCATCAACAGGATTTTCCACAGAGGGCAGCACAAGCACATGCTCTTTGCCAAAGGCATCCTGCAAAGATTGATTTTATCATTGAGATGGCATAGTCCAGACAGCTGCGGCACAGTTTCCCACAAATACAGGCTTTGCTTAAAACTGAAGAAAACCACAACAGCAGCCAAATACATCTTCCACTGTGAAGAATTGGGAGATTTTAAGAAACAAAGCTAGAGCACTTCGTGCTTAGTACAACATTTCTTCCCTGCTGTATGATCAATTTAATGAGAAGCTGACGCATTTAACAGGCATAGCGTTATCACACTTGATGGGCATTGACTCGACGAAAAGCAGTTCTTCCACCTTAGGTAATATACTAAAAAAGTGATCTCAGAAACAGTGTCCAAAGCAACTGAATAAAATAGCCATCGAACATTTTAACATCGCATTTTTGAGCACCCCGACACGTGCTCAGCAAATCTGCCTTTTCTCTATAGCTCCAAGTTGTGATTTGGGCCATTGTACATAAGTAGTGGAATACTTGTCTTGCATTGAAGAGGATAATGATACAATTTTCTTTCATAATTATAAAGATAGCTTTCCAGTGACGCAGTTAACTAATGCCCACTAGTCACTTCATCCAAACAGTGTTTTCAATTTTCAGGCACAGCTTACTTTCATTACGACATGGAAAATGTAGACTCTGCTCTTCTGACATACACGCACATAATAGATAAGTCCCAACATGTGCAATTAGGAGCTTCTCTTCAACTGAAGCACAACAGGTGCTGCCATTCGTTAACGAATAAGCTTCGTAAACAGAAAAAATTTTATTGCTCTAGGCTACAGATTATGAACACATCTTTGTTCTAGTAGTATCGTTCCTTGAGCTGCGATAATCATGATCATGAAAGTTATTTATAAACGCTGCAAAACACTGGCATAAGAAAGAGGTGTCCGCAATAAGCCGACAATGGTGCGCTCAACCACCCCCTCATTGAACTTCCCCCTATTCCCGTCTTCGAAGACCCAGGTCGCATACCTCAGCCTCCCTAATGAAGGGCTGCATTTTGTTTTAGGCACGTAGTGTACTGCTGTGCCCATTGCAAACAAACTCGTAAATCTGAATTGCGATCGCAACAACAAGAGATCTGTTTTGTGTAGCTTTAACGTGCCTCCCGGTTCAATCTCAGTTTGTGTAAGTGCCCCCTCCCCCTCTTTCCTTCCATGCAAATGAAAGAAAGGCGGGCGAATGGGAGATTCATGCCTCTCACACATCTCTCTAAATTTCTGAACAACCGTGCCCTTCTGAGCCCATGGGAGCAATAAGTGTATTGGCCACATGCATAACCACTCTACTAGCACATTTGCGATGCAATGTTTTACCACAAATTAGTGGTACTTGATGTTTCAAAGCCATATGAAGCCGAAAGAATGAAGTTAGATGAACTTTATATAGTAGTGTTACATCAATCTGGCACTGGCTCAACTGCCAAATAGCAGCTTCTGCTGACACTATTACCAGAGCTTTCTTCAGTAATTATTGCAGAAAACATGACACTACATGCAGAATGATAAAAACACTTGGCTGGTGTGGACCAGAATATCGTTTATGATGAACACTGCAGTTGTTTTATAAATGCAAGACATCAAACAAACTATAGACCTGTTAGGAGCATAATATTTTCTTTATAATGCTAGTGTCATCTAGATGTAGTGATAGAGGGTTCACTGTGTAAATATAAGGTTTCCTAGCTTTATCTTTTTTTTTATTTTTTTTTAAATTTTGGAACTGTAAACCTGTTATGCCTTTTTTCTTGCCACAAGACTGGGTGTACATTGAAGTTTTACAAAGTTTAGATACTAAAATGTCATTTTTATGTAGGTCTTCTACTTGAGTCCCATAATATATGAATGCTTGTTCGAGTTGGGGCAGTGCTACAACTGAAGCAAATATATTTAAATGAGTCAGTGGTATGCCTAATTATTTTGTTTCTCCATTGAGCTCAATTTGGCCAATTTTACTGAACCCTTCATAAATGAACAAATGCATGCCTGCCTACTATGCCTAATAAGCATACGCTCACCTTTAGGTACTTGTAGCTTCGGTCATCACTGGATGCCCTGGAGAGGTCTTCTGCACTGAGCTGCATAACAGTAACAAAAAGGGAAACAGGTTAAATCAAAAACGTTGCTCCCGATGGAGCAAAACTGCACTAGTGCTCAGCAGACAGCTTAAAGAGGCACCGATGCATAAATTTTACACTTGTTTTGTAGTTGTAATTGGTAGCTTATGATCGACTTATCGGGGCTGGAAACCTCGTTTCGAGTGCACGAGGGTTATTTAGTTAAACACGTTTCTAGAGCACCCAGTCTCAGTTTCGATTTCAAAGAGCCCCGAGCTAAGCAGGAGCAGTAGCAAGGTAAACACAGCTAGCCCCGTGACCACACAAAACTGTGACATGTCAGCGCGTGCGACAGCACGCACGAACGGGCACTGCAGTGACAACCAGCACACGCAAAGCAGGAAATCGCAGGTAGCGCAAATGCAAGGTGTGAGCTGGAAAGCAGCCAACACAAACCCGTCATGTAGGTTGGTTTACACTGCCGCCACGTTGATGTCGACGTCACGAGGGGCTCCGCATCTCGCTCACTCGCGCGGCATGCACTTCAAAAATTGATTTCAAATATGCTGTAGGCTATATTAGCCTTTGATGTTTCGTAGATGTGTATGTCTCCAGATAAATCTAGCCCACTCATTATCTCACCTTCGAAATTTTGTGTCAGTGCTCCTTTAATATATATTCTCCCTGCATGCATTCCTCAGCCTCCATGTCTCGAGCACCTGTGTTTTGATTTAACAACTTTTCTGATGACAGTACATATTCCGCGGCAAAAACTGACTGGATGCGTGGAACTAAGGGATGGATTAAACAAATGATACTAAAAAAAAAAGCCGAGTTTGTTTAAACTGATGAACAGAATTATTGAGCCAGAAATTGAGCAGTCGGTCAAACTTTCTTGCCACACACGAGTACTCGTGCAGCATAGGGTTAACACGGTCAGAAAGTCACCCAGTATTAGTTTGAGACCTATCGATGACTCATAATTCAACACCAGCCAAACAAAGGCAAAGCGAAACTGAGTTGAAAATTAAGCAGCTGTCCAGTACTTTCAGTAAATCCGCTAAATACTACGGTCATAACAGCAAAAGAAAGAACAAGGCCGCAAAGCTTACCTTGTCCTGCACAAACGCCACGACCACGGCATTTTCTTGGGCGACGAGCTTGGCCACCGAGTTTCCGAAAGTAGTTGGCTCAACCTTGTCGAATGAACCCACTTGCGGGATTTTCTTCAAGCCACTGAAATTAAAGCGTTCAGTGTTCACTTGAAGCTAAAACACTCTTTGGAAAAAAGACTATCGCGCAATTGAGCAAACGCACGAAGATTTTAATGAGTGTAAGATAAGGGCTGCAGCTGCTCCCGGCGAAGGAATATTGCTTTATAACGCACCGTTTCAACCCTGAAGACAATTGCTTTCCATAGTATAAAAATTAACCTTTCAAATTTCGTGGCTCGTCACTGCACGCGATTCGTATATTTGTGCTAAGAAGCTAGAAATCAGTTTCAGTCGCGAGACAAGCCTCATGAACTGGAGCAAACTAAACGTTCCGTAGCCTAGAAACGCCAGCTTTAGCTAAGTGAGCACACATAGCATGAAGTAGGCCCTTCTAAGCATAGGTGCGAGCTTGAACTTTTCAAACAATCGTGACTAAACACAGCGCGCTGATAAAATCGACCTTTTGCAGATTTCGGGAGCGAAACTGCCGTCGCGACCATCGATTCATGTGACCAACAGACTGCGGCACACCCCCATTTGAAACACAGGTGAGTCCGGAACTCGCAGGCCCTTTGCAAAGAAAACCAAACACACTTGCCTTTCAGAACCCCAAAAGTAGGCTGGAACTTCGACATTCGCGCTAAGCACCGAAGAATAAATAGTAAACGCTAGTAAAACTACGACGGTGAGCCGCCGGTTGCCACAAACTGCCGCCATGTTTGTGTGATCATATGACCACAGCAGCGGAACCACTAGACAAATGGCAGCATGTTGCCTTGATGCCGTAAAAGCGCTGCATACTGCACATAGTCTAGAGCTTAAAACTGCGTTTGCTTTCATCTGTATACGTAGTCACGAGGTCTTGAGAAGATCTCTGGCGAGGTTAACCATGTGCGCGTAGACCCTTTTGGAAACCAGCGCGATTTCGTTTTAAAGCGGGTATCTTGGAGCGCGTGTATTACCGCGGCGCTCGGAGATTAGAAGGTAAACATGTCTCTACAGAGGATATGCAGGTTGAGTCGCAGTTTGAGAGCTAAGATGCCGGCTCTGCTAGTATGTCGGGTAAGTGGTACACACACCTTCGTGAGGCATCGGCATTATTCTTTGCGACTCCTCTTGCCTTTTCAAATTTCGCCAGCTCTTGATTATGCTTGCGAACATGCGAAATTGCATGCCGTCAGTTGGACGCGATTCACACAGCCGCAGGCGCACAGGAGTGTTTGTGTAGTTCTGGGATCGTTTCTCGACATTATTGGTGGTCACTTTTCCACTGCTAGCTACTCTGCCTACCGTCTCTTGTTGCAGCTGGAGCTCTGAGATTATCCTTTTACGAGCGCTTTATCCTGGCAGTGACACTTTTTTAAAGATGCATCCACAAACGTTATATTTTTTCCATAAAGGTCGCGCAGGGTGACCCAATCGCATGTTTGAAATTTGCAACCACGCTGCTTTGAGTGCTCTTAACTGCGTTCCTTTCTGCTAATATGACTGTGGAAAAGAAGAACGAACTTGCTTCGCGATTTCTCTGTGGCCTTCTGCATTTCTTGCTCAACTTACGACGCATCGCGCGACCTAACCGCCAGTGTGCCCATGGTGAAACGCACTAGCCTCGAGGAAATCATCCAACGGGAGGGATTATTGGCGCAGGCATTCGTTTGAATAATGGGTACCACTACATTAATTGGTGCATATATGCATGTACCATCACAGCGAAATGTTGAAATTTTTGTGCAAATTTTCTCACCGCGCAACTAGTAAGTGAGCTACTAAAACCTTTTATTTGTCTTTTTGCTTTTGACCAGCGTGAGAGCTCAGATGCCCGTCCCGAGGATGTGATGTTGCAGCAGTACCTGCCAGATACCCGTGCTGATCCGGAAGCCTACAAGGACCGATGGGCGTCCGAGGCATCCGAGAAGTACACCAAGGTCGAAGAAGTGCCCGGACACTGGCACTATGTGGAGCGCCTCCTCCCTTTGAAGACTGCGCCAGAACCTCCCAGGTTTGAGGGCCGAGCACCTTCCGGCTGGCAGCCGCCATCCCGTAAGTTTTCAGCTAGAAACAAAGTGCAGATAGGTTGAACGAGCTGGAGAAAGTGCCTCAGACAGGCTGGCCAAGGTTTCTATAGGAGGACCTACCCCTTCATCACAGGTGCCTTGTCATCCTTGGCGTGTTAGTTTTAAGGAGAAGTGTTGATGTAATGTTCCAGTGGTAGAGTGTATCACTGTTGCCAATCATACGCAAAGAAAGAACTAGAAAGCACATGACCCTGTCCCGTTTTGAGCAATGATTGTAATGAGCCTCGAGCCATGCTACAGTTTTCCTTTGATGAAGTCAAGTTGCTCATGAAATATGTAAAGTTACTGCACATAGGAGAAAGACTGGACAGGTGCTGTAATATTTTTTATTGAAGTAAGGGGCTGCACAGCACGCACCACTGGAATAGTTGGGAAATACGATCACCACAGATTTCTGAACAAATTAGCTAGCTTGTTTGAGAGGGGTTAAAAGAAAAATACTTGGAGCCTGTTTACTGGCCCTTTAAGAACAGTGTTGATAAATGAAAATGTGAGGAAAGACTCATTAAGTGCTCATGAAGCATTTCTGTAAGCATGCACTTCAGCCTTACTGTGTCATAAGAGACAAAAGGAACAATGCCATGAAGAAAGGATTCTTGTATTGGCTGTCAGCAAATATGCAGCTTTTGTGCATAACACAACTTAGCAAAAGCAAACTTCATTTGCCTGTAAGCTAGCTATATGTTGTTACGAAGCGAGCCTCCCACAACGTTACAAAGGGCACCACGAATCTCGCTGCTGCCACCACTGTTACGAAAGACGGCGACGCCAACACGGTCCCGAAGGCGCCACCGCTTCAGACTCTGCCGGGAAGGTCACCAGCCGTTTGGTAGCGTAGGTTTCTCAGCTCGCGACTGCTTCTGCGCAGAGCTGATAGACGAGCGGACGAGACGAGGTTGAGTTAAACAAGGTTTATGTACAGCATATATACCGAGACGTTACCGATTCGGCACTGGGGCCGACAGCTTAGAGACTCGGAAGAGCCCAGCTCTCTTCTCTGACAAATAGATATACTCTCGTGACGCGCTGCAGGGCTTTTTTATATGCACTGGGAGAATTCTTTGAGTAACCAAATGTCCAACCAAAAGCGCCGCTGGTCGTGAGGTGAGAATCCTCCAATAGGGTCGCTGCTGGGCCGCGTCATTCTCATCGAATCTGTAGCCGCTGCGCTGCACGTGGCTGCACCCAAGGACGAGTGACGTCGCCACGCATTGCGTCAGACTCGCCAGACAGGAAGGCGCCGATTGCTTCGATGGGCTCGCTGTGCGTGCGCGACAGAAAGGCAACGCCGCGAGATGACGCCGTTGAGTTGTTCGCGTCAGGCGGGCTCGCGTGCTGGCCTTGACACAGATTACCTTTTTCAGAGGCATTGACGTTCGGTGTGGACTCGCAGGCATAACAATGTCCTTAATTTGTGCACAATTTATAGTGAAGCGAAAATAAGGTTTCATTGTGCACAGTTTAAGACAAAAACTAATTGCAAGTCACCTTGCCTTTTTCAGCCCAGCCTCCTCAGCTGCCCTATTTTGTGCCACGAACACGCAACCATATGCTTCCCGTCTACCTCAGAAAAGAAATACGTGGGCCACGATTTATCACGCGGGTGAAGCACATCGAAGGCGACATCTGGGTAAGTTTAATTTCTGAGTGGTTGTCACTCGGCCTTGGAAGTACACTTTCATCAATTGATTGCCATATTAACACTCTGACATGATCTGTGTCGGACATATTTAATATAGCTGGCCATGTTCATATTCACTGTTGAAGAGGCAAATTCTAGGATTTCAATAATGAAGGCTTTGTCCTGTGCATGGAATACTGGCTGGGAGCTTCAGTTTAGATAAAATTGACTAAGGTCAACATAACAGAAATATGCTGTACAAATTTGAAGGCCTTAAAAATACAAGTGTGGCACTGACTGCCACTTTGATTGTCGCTACAACTGTCACCGTGTTTGAGCAATTGTGTGTGTTGGTTCGTGATCAGAAAATTCGGAAACTAGTCACTTTCAGGTCAGCTTGAATACACTGGAGTTGAAGTAAGAGCGCACATTTGAGGCAACTTCTTATAGTAATGATCATCAGGGAGCATCATTTAGGCACTGTGTCTTAATACAAAGTGGTGCTGAGCCTTAAAGTTTCTTAGCTGAGATTTACATTCATTAAGGCTTGGAACTAAAGCGATGACACAACTACATGACATTGCCCAAACTTCAGACTTGGTTGTCGTGCTTTTGCTCGGGGCATATTTGGGAATGCAGCAGAATCACGCCAAGGGGAAAAGATCAGGGTATTGGAACAGTGCATCAGGGTATTGGAACAGGGTATTGGAACAGTGGTATTGGAATTTGCTATGAACAGGCAAAAGCGACATCCGAGTTTGCAGATTTTTAATTTATTTAGAATGATGCATAGGCGCTCAGTGCTACCCATCCCACACATTCTTAGCATTGTTAGGTGTGTTAAGCATTGTGAGGGCGCTGGCAATGATTCTTGTAGCTGCTACATGGACGACAACGGGGACCAAGCTCAGGCTGAGGGCGCTCTTGCTCAGGGAGCAGTAGTCAGTCGGTCATCTCTGGGCCTTTAGGGATTCAAGATGTGTTGCTCGATGTCTCCGCGTCGTCTCTGGGGAACTCTGCACAGCTGTCGGCCCTGTGCCTCCACAGCTTAAGGGGGGACGCGGCTTTGGGATCGCGAAAAATGGCAAAAAAATCTATTTTTTGAAACTCAAGTTTTCAGTTTCTGGAACCCTTTTTCTCTGGTTCCAAAATATCTACACTGAAAACCGCGACGAAGTGCTTCAGAAAATTCGTTTCACCCACCTAGGTAGCAAAAAATATTTCTGAAAATGGCGAGAAAACGGCGATTTTCAAAAAATAATAGCTTCGCTATGCTTGGGCCGGGAGCCGGCTTCTTGGGCTCATCGGAAAGAGCATTTCTCCGTGTTTAACTTTCCCGCCTCAGCCGGCTCCTCCCTTTAACAACAAGCGAGCAAAAAGCAAATGTTTGAAGGTCGTTTTGAGCATGACCTACTACACTCCTGACCTGCCCAGAGAGCACCTCTTCCAGCGCCCACGTTCTAGTTCATACCTTCTGCCGCTAGGGCCGTCACCTACGAGCGGCGTGGCGCTAGGCAGCACCTGTTCGCTGTCGTCTGCTTCAGCCATCGCTGTGGCAGTGCAAATCGTTCTTATTGTGCATGAATTGTGTATGAATGTGTAAAATATGGCAAATAAAGCGATATGATTCCTCGTCAGAGTTGGCTGCATTCGTGTGGACGTTTGAAGCAGAAATAGAACCGTAAAAAAAGCACACAAAGGGTCACAGTGGCAAGCAGACGGGAACTTTTCTACAAATGAAGGAAAATTTATTATGAAAATATTTCTTGAATGAAAACGTAGTCCAACGAGATAAAAAAACTATTGTTAGGCATTCATTGTTCACACTGAATCACGATGGTTCCAGACGATACGCATACACAAATTGCAGAAGATACGCAGAAAACAAATGTGTTTTGTTTCATTTTGAAGTGCTGTAACATTGCTCGAATCACACGCATACACTCGCCAAATTCTTTTAGCAGAAACCTTGATATCACTTTGAGGGATCTGCTTTTCATTGACAAACGAGTATAATGGCACATTTTCAGCATGTGTACGCGCCCCAACTGCGGGTGTCGCCCTTGGGCGCTATCAATCAAACATAACCACTAGTACAACAAAGGCGGTACTATTCCGCCCTAAAAATAAGTCTGTTAATGAAAACATACATTTCAAGTATGGCGATACTATTATTGAGTTAGTAAATTGTATAAAAATTCTTGGAGTTACATTTTCGAGCAATATGCTTTGAAACGATCGCATTTACAGTGTGCTGGGTCAGTTATCTCGCGTAGAGGGCACGGTGTACAGTGGCAAAACTGTTCTACTATACAAGGTAAAATTCTTACTTTATAAATGACTGTTCTGTTGGCATCTTGCTTATTGTTTCTTGGTATGAAGGACTACGACTAACACGCGCTTACAAAAACTGTACCTGATGCAAAAGACGTATATTAGAATAATTTTTTACTGGTCGTATGATGCTCGCAGAGGTGAATTGTTTCAACAGGCTGGAATACCACCCCTACATCGTCTCTACGATTTTAAGTTAGCATTGGTGGTCAGGCGTCAATTTCAAGAAAGTCGACATTATTTGTACGACCTCTCGAAACTGCAGCCAAATAATTTGTTCGAAACATGACATAAAGAAACATGGAAAATAAAAACTTCGAGAACAAACTACTCCACAGATAGGTTGTTCTACACAGTTTCTACGTTAATTGATAAATATGTGAAAGCTGGCATAGATTTCTTACTCTGTACCCGAACTCAATTGCACGATATACACATGTATAGTTTTCAAGATTTCTTTGCAGTTGCTACATTGTTATCATGGTTGCTATTTTTATTTTTAGAATTTGAACTTGATATTTTTGTAATTGTTGCTTAGATAACATTGCTAACTGTTTGCCAGTGCTGTCGTGCTAAAGGCGTCTGTGGGCCTATGTCAAGCTGCCTCTTTCGAAGAGCAGCTTTTACCTGCCGCTGTCCTTCATCAAACTATTGATGAAAAATAAACATTATTATTATTATTATTATTATTATTATTATTATTATTATTATTATTATTATTATTATTATTATTATTATTAACTATGCTCGACAAGATGATGATAATGATGACGATAAAAACTTTATTGGGGTCGCAATGTGTTGCCCTCGATAGGCACATCACTGCCTTTACCATATCGTCTCATCGCACGGACATATAAAATCATAGAAACGCGCATCGGCCAGCGCTCCCCGTTCCAGCAGACAAACTCCCGTAGCGAAATTTGACGCACAATTTTTGTTGTGTAGGTCACAGTAAGAGTTAAAGCTTCAATTCCTGTGTCTCTCCTTGATATGCGTCCGTGGGCGTATGTGCATTATTCTCTTCTATCAATTGACTACAAGTGTAACACCTGTCCAGGGCGAGTGTCCAAGGTAAGTGCTCAACAGGGGCACTGCGTTTCACCTGACGCGTCCCTAAACAACCTAAAATCAGTTTGATATTCTATTACCAATGAGTACATTATTAGTCAAAAGCTTTATGAATACTAAATTGAAGTTTTTTTAGGCTGGAATGGCAAAAACAACCATGCAGCAAGACATTTCTACGCAAATATACAGCTTTAGAAGTCAATCAACCAGTATAGCCTAACTACTAAAATGTAACACATAGCACACGTTAGCCTTTTCAGCAAAAAACAATCACACGTATAGGCAGTTTGTCACAGAAGCAGACGCATGGTATCAGTCCGTCGCCCTCCTGCCGGCCGCACAGTAGCAGACGAACAGGTTATAGGTAGCGCCACCTACGGCGAGCGATTGAACGAGAGCGGGGACACGCGCTCCCATAGGAACCCCGCTATCTGAACAGGTCAGGAGTGTAGTAGGTCATGGTTTTGAGGCCCTTGATTGGCCGTGGCCGCCATGTTGCCTCAGCTCGCCTCGCCATTGGCCCGATGCTCGCTCCGAGAGATCGTCGTCTGCTGCTTGTGCGTCGCGAGGACATGGCTCTCGAAAATCGCCACTTCGTGACGCGTTCACGGCTTGATAATCACTTAAGAAATAACTACGTTTTAGTTACGAGCAGTAAGCGGATGCGCGATCAGGTTACTACGAGCGTCAGCGCGGTCTACGAGCGCCGCGCGTCATTGAAGTCGTCTTTAGCCCTAACTCCGCCGACTGCGGGCAGAAACGACGCGCTAGCGCATTCGTGGCGACGTGCTTCTTCGCAAGCAACGAAGCTGTAAGCGGCGGCACGATCTGATTACTACGAGTGGCCGCACTGGATGCACGATCAGATTACTACGAGCGGGCGCGCGGCGGTCTACGAGTGCGGCGCGTCATCGGAGTCGGCTTTAGGCCTAGCTCTGCTGACAGCGAGACCGCGGGCAGGAACGACGCGCAAGCGCACTCTTGGCGACGTGCTTCTTCGCAAGGAATGTACCACATCACTCGCTAGCTCCTATGAATATTGTACGGACATTTTACGCATCGGCAGCGGACAACACAGTCAAGCTCGTCGCCCCCCCCCCCCCCCCCCTTCATTGCCAAGGATCGCTCGGAACAGCGGCTAGCAGTTTCGCGCGTCGTCATTCGAAAATGCGATGCCAAGTGCAGTGCGTGCCGATTTTTTGTCTTCGTAGTTACACATTTCGCGCATCGTCATCGAACGCCGCCGGCAAGTACATTACGCGCCGGCTGCACTGTCCACGCGGCCGCGCACCCCACGGTCATATGGAGTGCCGTCAGTAAGCTTTTGTGATGCGATTCAGACGTGCTTGGAGCCGTGCTTGATATCGCCACGAACGTCTATGAATATTCCGAGGTTAATGAATTGCTGTAGATTAGAGTTTCCGCGACCGGCTAGCCGTATGATGATGCGTTTCACGGCTAGAGCGGCGAAAGAGCATGTGTGAATCAGGGGCACGAATTTTTATATGCCCGTTTCGTGTCATTAATTATACTGCTAGAAATTCCCGTGCCACCAGTCTTCTGCCCATAACTTTGTTATTTAGAAAGATGGCATAGGATGCCATGGTGTGATCCATTTTTCTGATGCAATAAACTTCTCTCCAAATAAGAAAAAGTTCAGTGAATATTTGTAATCAAGTACTTAATTACGCTAATTACAACTTCAGCACAAAGAAGTATGTTTAATAATTTCAGTATATGGTTTTATTCAATTACAATCTTTTCTGTCATACCTATCACACCACTCCTTCATACAAAGAACTTGGTTTGAAATTCATACTTGTTCTTTGTAACTCATGAAAAGGAGTAAATCATGAAAAGAAGTCAAATATCACAAGACAAACCTGAGATCACAATTTTTAGGTGTCTTAGAGACGTAAAGAAAAGTTGAAACTTTAAACGCAGCTTTCTCAATGCTGTTTTTTTTTTTGACATTATGCTCAGCCCCTCCACATAGTTCAATGAAGAAATAATTTGTTTTTCGTAAAGTATTCGTGGTATCACTTCAAAATTTTTATGGAATTGATTGATTGATTTGTGGGGTTTAACGTCCCAAAACCACCATATGATTATGAGAGACGCCGTAGTGGAGGGCTCCGGAAATTTCGACCACCTGGGGTTCTTTAACGTGCGCCCAAATCTGAGCACACGGGCCTAAAATTTTTTTATTTTTATGGAAGCACTGTGAGGTTATTCTTAGTGTCTGTGCCAATTTTCATCGATATCAAACGAGAAACAAAAAAAGTTCATTGAAAAAAAGCCTGTTGAAAACTTCGACAGGCTTTTTCTCACAAGTGTGTTTTGGACATTGTGCATTGCTCGTGGAAAGAGTAGCAGGAGAATGACTGGACCGATTTTGATTCTGTTTTTTTCCCTGAATCCCTGAACACTGCTTGTGGGTACAGCAATCTTCAATTTCTGTTTTGTAGCCCTGTTATTTTTCTAGACGATGATTTGTTCGTGCCATTGTTTCTGACTATGTGTGTCGGCAGCCATGATGATCTCTAAAAAAAAAAACGAGAACTTACTAAAAAATTCCGAGAGTGTCATGCCCTGTAGCTTTCTTTTGAGTAAAGATCAACATCATTCGCAGCTTCCTGGCATGTTTTGTTGCAGCGCTAGGCTTTCCACGAGCAGACCATGTAATTGGATTGTGTAGCATTATGTAACTTGAGAACTACTGAAGCTATCATGATGAAACTGCATATTTCCCTATTCTAGACACTTATGAGTATGCATGCCAAATTTCATTGCTGTAGTTCAACAAATAAAAAAGTTTTTTTTCAAAGCCGCCTCCCCCCTTAAAGAAACTGATTGCACCAGCTAGACCACCTCGTGGTATGTGGCGTGGTTGATTGGCAAACGAATGAGCTAGGCTTTGCTAAGGATGTGCTGATGATGCAATGCATAAGTGCAATAAAAAAAGAATCAAAAGTCAGGCATTGGTCATATGACACAGGAAAAAGCATGAAGAATTTTTCATCACTGATTATTAAAGATTGGTGTCTGGGATGAAAGATACCTATCCCAGATGTACATACACTCAAACCTCAATATAATGAACCCGGATATAAATTGGTTGAAATATTGGTTACAACAAACTAAATGAAGAGTAGTGTTGCAATAGATAGTATTCGAAATATACCTTCATAGGAAATATTTGGATGTAAGGAACTTATTTTCGGGAAATATGCAAGTTTGTTATAATGAGGTTTGAGTGTATTTCAGATTGTCCCTCCTTTGGGAAAATTGCTGAGAGCTTGTTTGTGTGTCTTCATTTGCAGTAATTTGATTACAGTTAATGAAATGTTCTTTCTTTATTTAAATGAAATACCAACCACTTAGAAGATAGCTGCTACTCCATGCAGGAATTCCATTAAGGCAGCTTCAGTTTATTGTAGTTCTACTATACAAAAATCGGCGGCTTAATCAGCTCTGCATGGCATGATGCAGATGTGTTGATGCACATTTTTTCTATGCATGCCGATGTTTGAGCTCGAGTGGAAAAGTGCACCCCCTGATGATGTTCTCTGCCCGCATTTCTGGTTCTTTTTTTTTCCTACAGGCATTCCACGATGAACTGAAAAAATACCTTGAGAGCTTGGCCAACAAAGAAGTGCTCTCGCAAGTGCATGAACTTGGCAGCTATGTGGGCTACAAGGGTGCCTTCGTTGAAGAGGTAACAGAGTGGCTGTATAAGAAGGGCTTTTAAAGGTAGCACATAGTTAGCAGAGTCCATGGACCATCACTACGCAAACATGTAGATCCTGGAGCATCCGTCACACCTCATACAACCGTAGAGTGTCATTAGCTTAGTCAGTACGGTGGCTCTGGTTTCTTTGGGCTTGTGTGCCGGTGCCTGATCCATAAGAGCGCAATAAAGGCAGATGTCTGATGTACGTAGTGGATTCACTGTGCTGTCTTTTGCATGCCGTTATGGGTTGTTATCACTTCATCAAACTGCACATATAGTTCATTTCATTTTTCATTTTATTTTATTTCAAGTTCTCTTATTACATGAAAATACACAACACTGGTTAGACCCATAGCCACTGGCTAGTAGGGGGTCTAAAATAAATATGCATTTAAAGGAAAGGCACAGCTAACAAAGCACTCTGTGCTGACAATTGAGGACCCTTTTTTGCGCATAGTGCTTTCGTAAACTGATCGGTTTCATCGCTTCTTTTTCGTAACGATTTATGTCGTTCCCTCGCACTTTGGCTGTGTTCGCTCTTGAGCAAGCCGTTCCAAGTCTTGGCTACCACAACTGAGTGAAGACAGGATCACAGATTTGACTCTGAGTTGTTTGGGTGATGCACTCTAGCTTAGATTTAACAGCACATTAAACAGGAGCAAGTGTTTTTAATTAATACCGACTTCCCACCAGGCCATGTACAGCCTTGGGCACATATAACCCTGAAATGTTAAGTGCTACTGACAAACTTAGTATTTCATATTTGCTCTTTAAATTGTCTTAATTATGTAGCACTTTTGGTTTTACCTTTAGTGCTTTTTTTTTTTAAGTGAATGGGCAGCATCTGTATGTACAATTTGAAACCATTTTCTTGTAACAAAGGCTTCAGTGGATTCACAGGGCAGTTGTACTGTTTGCCATAAGAGTGGCAACAGACTGCCTGACAATATTTTATTGTGGTGCGTTAAGCTCAACTCCTAGTCTTTTGTATTATATGCCACTATTGGCCAACTGATCCCGTAGATAAAGCAGCCAGGCATCACTCTGACCACTGGCCTGGCGCCAAAGTAAGAAAAAATAGTGTTAGCATCAAAAAAAAAAGATCACAACCACAGACTGGCCGAGATTGTGAAAAGTTTTTAATGGTTAGCTTTAGCTATCGTATTAATGGCTTGTCTATGAATGGCCTGTCATTCACAGGTTATGTGAAAATTTAAACTGCTCTTGGAATTTTATTGGAGCATCAAGTGATGTCAGTAGATTAACCATCTTTCCGCTGTATCATTGTGGCACCGTTATCTGTGAATTAATAACCATGCAAATGTAAATGTTGGCTAGACCTTTTCCAAAGCCATGCTTCTTCATAAGCAGATGAGGATTAAACGAGAAAAGACTGCAAGATGATCACTTTGCTCATTTGCTGAGTTGCCCTCCTCGCAGGTGATAAATAAGTATGATTTAGAACTGCTGAGTGAAGTCTCGTACATTTGTTTATACACCAAATTCTTGTGTGCATTCATTTGTTTAACTTCATTATTAGTTGATTCAGTCTATTACAATGCATATGGTGCAAGGCTATACATATAGGTCCATACTATTGCTTTTTTCCCCTTCTGTTACAGACTTTTGAGTGTCAACTGCTATTTAGCAATTCCTTCACACTAACAAAATACATTTCCTCTTATTTCTATAATTTAAATGGTATGGAATCCATAGATAGGTAACCAGTTTACTGTTTGGGCTATTTTTAGTTGATTACCTAATAAACTCAACCCGCCACAGTGGTATAGTGGCTATGGTGCTCAACTTTTCACCTAAAAGTTGTGGGATCGAATCCCAATCGTGGCAGCCGTGTTTTTGATGGAGGCAAAACTGCCCATGTACTTAGATAAAGGTGCACATTATAGAATTCGGGTGGTCGAAATTTCCATAGCATTAAAGGACGTTAAACGATGCCATTACTGCATTATTATTATTGTAGTTATCTAGTGAACTTGGTTTATAAATTGGTGATCATGGATTTTGGAGCATGGAAAAGATCCTGAGGTGGTCAAACAATTATAATTCAGAGGGCCCATAGTACGGTGTCTCTTTTGGCCAGTGGCTTCGGGTGTAAAACAAGCAATTTGGTTCTATTTGAGTTGACGCAGTCTGATAGTTTTTGGGAAAGAAGAATGTGTGTAATACCTGTGGATGCTGAACTTTAGCCGGTTGCTAAGAAATCTTTCATACAGAAATGTTCTTGGGGCACTAATGATGACAGCATTATGAAAAAGAAAACAAGCAATATAAACGGCTTGCACCACCTTGCATGTGTGTTATTGTTGATTCTTTATGCTACGTTTTACCATTGCCTTCTACAGGTACTGCAATCTTTGAATGTGAGCTGCGAACTCCTCCTTTCCCTTTCCTGTTTTTCACCTCTTCTCACCTTTTGTGTAAGGGGCCAGTGCCTCCCATTGGAACATGTTGGAAACGCGCACAGGCTACCCTTGACGTCATTTGATGTCTCGTAGTGTCGTATTTTGTTATGTCATGTCTCGTAATGTTTCATCATGTCATATGTCTGAGCGGGGCTCTGACAGTGCTCACCCACTGGTGTGTGTCTTGCTGCAACTCGCAGTGTAACAATCCCAACAGGAAATAGAACCATGCAAAGGGCACACAGTTAAAAGAGGCGCTGTTCTTGTGCATGTTGCAACCATGCACACTTTATCATTGGCTTGTCGCTGGCACACTTGGGGGCATGTTGTGAAACTATACTGTGTACTACATGTCATTCACACACCGCATTTTCTGCTGTCACCTATATCTAATCGTAGGAGACACGTTTAGAATAGAATGTTTGTTTGTTTTTCTATACACATAGCCATTTTCTTTTCTGTATAACACTTATACGCCTTCTGCCAAGTCGTGTTCTTGTGTTTGCTGCTTCAGCTTGCCTGCTTGCCTCAGAAACAGGCATTTTGTATCACATTTACCAATTTTGTTGAGCATTATATGGCCTTTTAAGTGCACCGCATTTCTGGGTCTGCATGTTACAACTTTATCGCCATGGGCACGTTGCCTAAACAGTGCAAAAAATTGAGCGGCCGAGTGATGTCTGTACCATTCGATGATGCTTACTCAGATTGATAGTGCATGCCCACTTTAATGCACGACTCTGTTGTAGCCACAGCCCTGCACAAAAAATATGTGGGTGTGTTTTGACAAGCCTTCTTTGGTACTATGTGCTCCCTCAGAATCCAGGAGTAGACTGTAGCATTATTCCTCAGCATGAGTGCTTACCACACTTTTTCAGTGTTCCTTAGCAATTTATGCTGATGAAGAGTTTCCTTACAAATGCTGCCTTTATTCCAATGCCTTCTAGCAGTTGCTTAGAGTATGGAGAAACAATTGAGCGAAAGTACATATATTCAGAAGAATTCTTTCAAAGCAATATTGAAGCCGCTGCATTAAGGGATGACCCTGCTTTCAATTTCCATAAAGTCAGCGCGAGGTGTTTATAAAATGAAATATAGAGTTGTAGTATATTGGGCTTACCGTGATACCGGGCATACTGTGATACTGGAATCGAAATGCGCATGCACAGATACGTACGTTACGCGTACCGCTTACCGTACGCACGGTATTTTTCAGATTTAAGGTAGCGTAGGTGCACAAGGTGTACGTAAACAAGGCGGCGCTCTCGGACGCCCGCTTCGAAGTGATTTTGGCGTAGTTGTTGAAAGATTCACATTGTTCGCAGCAAACGACTGTTCAAAGTGGCTTAGCTTGCCTTCAGTTAGCTTCGATGACTGAGTATTACGGATAAGTTGGCGTAGTTTTTGAGATAGCTTCCCATTTTAAACGCGCCTAGGCCTAACTTCAAGATCAATGTAAACAAATCGGCAACATAGATGTTTTCGCGTTTTGTACGTGGTTCATATTTATTTTTATTTATTATCACAAAAATAAACTTCTAACTATGCTTCGTGCGATGGCATAGGCAAACATTCTCGTTTTATCTTCATTTTCAATGTTTAACTTATTAGCCATCTAATAGGTGGTGCCACCATCCCATTTGGGGGCACGTAAACCACGTAAGCGCTATTTCGCTAAACTATAAGACGCTACCTACAACGAACGTTTGCTGCATGGCAGCGTCATTCCCTTAACCTACGCTATCACGCTAACGCTAAACTATAACTGTCTTATGTTTAACATATGCAACATAGTTTTCAAGTTCTCAAATTTGTACGAGTTCATGAGATTCTGTAATTGTCTTATAGCACTAAAAGGCAACTGCATGAGTTAGCGCGTTAGGACATGTGGGAGCATCGCTTGGCTTGCTTCTTCGTGAGAACAAAATATGGGGGAGTCGTATTATATTATATCCAATATTTTCAAAAGGTGAAGGGACGGCACGTGTGCTACTCCTTCACGTCTTGTCTTGGTAAGTATTCTTATACAACAGAACTGGCTGGATACACTGGAGTAGTAGTATTGCCCTAGGTCAGTTCGCCAAAGCACCTGTGTAGAAAAGCTAATGATTAATTCAGGCCACAAGTGGCTTTCATGTAATCAATAAAGCAACTGTATCTGTTGTGGAAACTGGCACTGCAGCTTTTTCTCTAATCACGTAATCATTGATGGCAAGGATAGGTGAGGACGCTGCATTCTTCAGCACGAGCGTTTCCACATCTCCATAGTGAAAACATATATGTATCATTGTATAGAGTTTGTATCATAAAATACTGACAGCACACCGGTAAAGCCTCCCAAGTTGTTAAAAGGCCGCTGCCATGGTTTGGTGGTTACTGTGCTTGGCTGCTGACCTGAGAGACGCGAGTTCAAATCTCGGCTGCAGCAGTCACAGTTTGATGTGGAAGGAATGTCGTAGGCCCATGTGTGATGTCAGTGTACACTACCCAGGTAGTAGAAATTATTCCAAGCCCTCCACTATAGTGTGTTTCATAGCCTTAGCTGCTTTGACCCTATAAACCGAACCAAACCATCTACGTCGTAAGAGACTTCAGGACATGTCCTTTTGTTGTCCTTGCTGGTGCACCTAACCAGCAGACAGTGAGGAGGCCCTACAAATGCATTGCACTTAGAATGCTCTTGGATGATGCAGTGGGTGGAGAACTGTTTGAATTACTTTGGGGTTACTGGTATTTTTGTGTTCATTTGTCCTTTCAGCCGGCTGGTAGCGGCAGCACCAGG